GCATAGCCCGCAGCCAGGATGCTGGACTGTCCTCTTACCGCCAGTCGGTTCTCTCTGGCCTCCGCGCTCCTTCTGGCTTCTCTAACCCGGCGGACTTCGGGTTGCCAGCGCCTCACCTGGGTCTGCGCGCCTTGAATCGCTCACAGAGTAGTGATCCCCAACCTACAAATGAGGAAACCGTAGCCCAGAACCCTGGAAGGCAATCCCCAGTGGCCACTGAGAGTAGTCACCAAAAACAAGTACTGTAAGTGACTCTGGGAAGATTTACATTTGATTTCCTACAACAGAGGCAGTCTCTGAAAACCAGCCTCCACAAACTCTTCCCTGCGGACCCAATTCACCCCATACCGATCCATTTAGCAAAATCTCCGGGAACAGTTCACCCCAAACCAATGGAATGAAAAAGCTTTGTTTAAAAGTGAAGCCTGCCGAAGAGGAAATCTTCGTGGGGGGACTTACAGGTTTTTAATGCATCATTTAGCTTCTGTTTTCTGTTTGGCTCCTCTTTCTCTCTCTAGAGCTGGCTGCAGCTCCGATCTTCTTGTCACGTCCTATTCTGCAAACTGAGACCTATCAGGGGCCTTTATACCCAGGGCTGCTCCTCATGCTAGTGTTGTACTGAAGAGAAAATTATCAAAGCCACGGCTGTGCACCTGCCTTCTCCAGGCCCCACCTGAATATTTGTACCAACAGGCTGTTTCTGAGTCTGGTAAGGAGGGCCACTCTGACCTCAGCTCTCCTGGGATATTTGGTGTGTAGGATGCAGGGTTCTCTTCCAGCCCAGACTGCAGGTGAGGGAAGCAATGTGTGTGTGTGTGTGTGTGTGTGTGTGTGTGTGTGTGTGCACAAGTCAATGTAGACTTTACTGCTAAAGAAAAAAGAAATAGGAAAAAAATTTTTTTTTCTAAGAAGCTCATGTCCAGAGAAAAGTAAACCACTAAAAAACTGAGGTCTGGATCAGAAGGATTTCTGCTTTCATTAAGGACTGAGTAATTCAGACCAATCTTCCAGATGAAGACAACTGAAAAAGCTGGATAAAATATTTTAAAATTCAAAGGACTAGTAAGGAATTGCTAGGCCAAAACTTGGGAAAGGAATCTGTGGACACAAGCCTGGAACTTGGGATTGCTTTTGTTTTGGGGGAAGGGGGCATTTGTTGATTCTGTAGGGGGTTTGAGAATCTAAACTGAATTTTGGCATCCTTTAAAGGCTTATGGCAACTGGAAGTCCCAAGGCCCAAAATGCTCAAGCATAGAACTTATTTAAGGTGACTCCAAACTGCTAGTATCAAAAACTAGAATTCTTTTGGGAGGAAGAGAATATCACCCTAGGCCTTGATTTCTTTCTACAGATACTTTCTTGCATATGTCTTCCAAATTATCAGAGGAAACCAGGCACCAGAAGGAGGACAGTAAAGAAAAGAAGAAATAACACACAACAGGGTCTCCAGATGCTGGGATATTTGGACACAGACTGTACAACAACTATGTACATGCTATTTTCAAGAAGATAAAAAGCCATGCTTATAAATTTGCCAGAGAACTCAAAATTCTAACAGGTGGCACAGGAGATTTTAGGGGGAGAAAAATATTCTAGACTAAATCAATAATGGGCACTAGAGTTAAAATATAGTAGAAACTCAAGTATGGTGGACTTGGTCCATCTCTGAGCCCAGGAAAAAGTAAATATGAGCAAGTAACCTCAGAGAAATTGATATAGTAGTTTACTGTTTTCCATTTCAGCTTTTGGCCACCACAAAATGGATACCCCAAAAATAAATAATATAATTTTAACTATATTAATTTTTAAAGAGTTATGCATTCACTTGGCTCAATAATATATAAAAAGGTGTGCCCAAGACAATTTGCAACAATACTGCCCCTATTTTGTCCCTTCCCCACACCCTGCCCTACAGGTAAACAGTAGTTTCCTCTGTGTTCTTTCAATGTTCCTTGATGTGAGTGGAAGTAAATGCAAGTATATGTGTGTATATATATATATATATGAAAAAAAAAATTCATCACATTAAGAATTATCCCCTTTGGTAAATTTAACTGGCATAAAATTTTAAGCTGATATCTCATCCATATTTCATTTGTTTGTGTCAGTTTATCCAGTAGTATCTAGCTTTATTTTTATTTTAAATCTATATTACAAAATCATGTGTATGCATTGCATTTAGTTGCTGTGTGTCTTTAGTCTCCTTTAATCAGGAAAAGTTTCTTAGCCTTTATTTTTATACACCATTTCTGAAGAATACATTCTACGTGCCATTTTTTTATTAACCCCTTCACATCTGGAAATATTTGGTGAAGGTTATCTTGCTCAGATATTAAAGGATGTTTTTACATTTCTCAGTCCTGGGACTTCAGGGCTGCAGCACTAGATTTGTATAGACAAACAACAACAAACAACAATCCCAAAGGCTCTGTGGAGGCATTTTCTTGAAGAGCACAGATCTCCTGTGGTCAAGGGAGGGTAGATAAGAGGAGGCAGTCTTGAAGCAGACAATGGAGAAGCTGTGGATACAGAAGACAAGCAGAGAAAGGGGCTCTCATTACTGGAAAGCCCTCATCAAACAGGAAAGGAAAGGAGAGGGTGTCATGGGACCAAGGCAGATACATCAGACTCAGTGGGGAAACAGGCAAGAAATGGAAGGAAGTGACACATGGCTTATTTTCAGCTGTTTATAATCTAAAGAACAGAGCTTTGGGGATTATAAATGTTAAACATCTAACACAGGAAGATAACACAAACATATAAACAACATCAGCATAAGCGACATCTTGTTTTAAAAATATAGAAGAGGTCTGGGGGCATTGCTCAGTGATAGAGCACTTGCCTAGCATGTTTGAGGTCCTGGATTTGATCCCCAGCACAAAACAAAATAAAAAACCGAACCCCAAAACAAAAAAATATAAAAGAACCAATCGGCCTGTTAGAAGAAAATGGATGGAAAAACTTATCATAAAGCCTTTTATGGAGGAAGTAACTATAGGTGTGCTTCAAAACAAAGACTTTACTAAATATAATTTCAGTTATGCTCACAAGAGGTAATATAATGATAAAAAGAAGCCTACTTCCTAAATCAGGATGGGTTTGGTGTGCAGGTTGTTGTCCAGCACAATTGTTCTGTGAAATTGAGGCAGATTTTAAAATGTTGAGGAAAGGACAGAGGGGATTTGGTACAACAGTGAAGGAGTAGCAGGGTGGACATTGTGTGGATAGAAGGAGCTGTAGTGAGAGCTTTTAAAAGCAGAATAGCTTACTAGGGATTGGGGTAGAAAGAATTACTAAACAGTGTTTAAGTTGTTGCTATGGGTGTGCCATACCTGTGTCTTCCTCCTATCTTGCTTTCTATTTCTTAGTTCGGATGACTGTGGACTAAAACACTTTTTTTTTTTTTTTTTGGTAAACATGGATCTCTTAGAATATATATGCTGCTGAGTATATGTTTAGCTTCATACATTTCAAAAAAGGAAAAAAAAAAAGCATTGTGTTTTGGAGGAAGCTATAGTTGAAGACACAGTAGATTTTGTGGGCATGTGAGGTTTTCAAAGGTTATGTTTTTCAGAGAGAGAGATCATCAAGCAGAAAAAGGGTCTCTTGTAATATCTAGGTAGCAGGTGCAATAAATATAAAATGTTGTTGAGGTAAATATATGGTATAGTGAAAGATGTGGTTGGAAAGTATGGGCAGAGGGATCCAAAGGGCACCTGAGGGTAGACAGATCAATTGTGCTTAGTGATGGTGTGGTGGAGGAATATGGGCTCTTCTCCCATAGGTTTTGGCCACCTCTCCCCAAAGCCTCTAGTGTTGTGTTGAAGTTCTGGGATGTAGGCCTGGACCTGGGGTCTAGAAAGGGCACATACTCTCGGTCCCCAGTTTCTGGTGGTGGACTACTTCTTTGTCCAGGGAGACTTGCTAAGCTCTAGCTTGTCCTTTTATTTTCCTTTCTTTTATCTTTATGGTGCTGGGGATCAAGCCTAGGGGCTAGTTTACTTTCTGAAAATTCCTATTCTTGTGTTGGCTGGCTCTCATCCTTCTGTCCTTGTGCTACCTGTGGAGGAATCTATGTTTCTCCATGTTTTGGAAACAGATATTAATAAGGTAAGCAAAGCACAACTGCAAAGAGATTTTAGATGTTTTTTTAACTTTTAAAAAGTTTATTCTAATGTGTTATATATGACAGCAGAATGCATTACAAATTTCACATATAGAGCACAATTTTTCATATCTCTGGTTGTACACAAAGTAGAGTCACACCATTTGTGTCTTCATACATGTACTTGGGGGTAATGATGTCCATCTCATTCCACCGTCTTTTTTTCTTTTTAAAATGTACATTTAATGCTATAAGTTTCCCTTTAAGCACTGCATTTTCTGCATGCCACATATTTTTAATGCTGTATTATTTTTTTTTAAATTGTAATTGAACACAATACCTTTATTTTTGTTTTTATTTTTATGTGGTACTGAGGATGGAACCCAGAGCCTCGCATGTGCTAGGTGAGAGCTCTACCACTGAGCCACAGCCTCAGCCCCTAATGCTGTATTTTTATTTTATTTAATTTAAAATATTTATCTTGATAATTCTTTTTTTAACATTTTTTATTTGTTTTAATTAGTTACACATGACAGTACAATGATCTTGACATATCATACATTTGAATCAGATGGGATATAATTTCTCATTTTTCTGAGTGTACAGGTTGCAGAATTACATTGGTCATGCAGTCACGTATATACCCACAGCAATAATAATGTCTATTTCATTCTACTGTCCTTCCTTTCCCCCCCTTCCCCTCCCCTCCCCTCCCATCACTTCTCTCTACCCAATCTAATGTGACCCACTTCTTTTTTTTTTCCCTCACTTGATAATTCTTTTTTGATCCATGTGCTAAAAGTATGTTGTTTAGTCTCCAAATATTTTGGGATTTCACAGCTCTTTTTCTGTTTTTGATTTCTGTTTATATTCCATTGAGGTCTGAGAGCAGACATTGTATTGTTTCTATTTTTTTTTCAGTTATGGGGAATTTCTATTTTATAGTTGTTAAGGTGTGTTTTATGGATCAGAATATGATCTATCTTGGTAAATATTCCATGGGAACTTTGAGAGAAATGTGTATTCATTCCATTGCTGGGTGAATTATTTCAATGTTAGTTGGATCAAGTTAAATGATGGTGTTGCTCAAGTCAAAGATATTCTTGATGATTTTCCTACCTGCTAAATCTGTCAATTAATGAAAGGGAGGTGTTGAAGTCTTCAACATTACTAGTGAATTCAGCTGTTTCTCATTGCAGTTTTTGCCTTATATATTTTGATACTCTTTTAAAATATATACATCTTAAAGATTATTGTGTCTTCTGGGAGAATTGACCCTTCCCTTTGTTATTATGGAATTCCCTTTTTATCCCTGATAATTTTTCTTATTTTGAAGGCTGATTTGTCTGAAACTAAGAACTACGTCTGTTTTCTGTTAGATTAGTGTTAGAATAATACATTTTATACATCCCTTTATTTTTAGTTTATTTGTATCATTATATTTAATGTAGCTTGTAGGTGACATTTAAAAAATTTTTTAGAACTTTTTTGAAATGGGATCTTACTATGTTGCTCAGGCTGACCTCCAACTCCTGGACTCAAGTGATCTTCCTGCCTCCATCTCTTGAGTAGTTTGGACTGAAGGTGTATGTCATCATATCCAGCTAGCAATCTTTTTTATTTTATTTTTATTTTATTCGATCCATTCTCATAGTCTGTCTTTTAATTAGTGAATTTATTTAAATCACTTTAAAAGTGATTTTTAAAATGAAGTTATATATTTGGATTATAGCCATTATATCTTCAACAGTTTATTATTCATTGTATCTAGTCTTTATTTTTCTTCCCATTTTTTGAATTGATTTTAAACAAGACTTTTTAAAAAAATATATATATTTTTTTAATTTTGACATTCTATTTCATTTTCAGTTTCATGTATATTTACAATTATAGCATGAGGTTTTTATATACTTAGTGAAATGGTTTCTATAGTCAAGCTAATTAACAGCCATCATCTCATACAGTTACCTTTGTGTGTGGGTATGTGTGGTAAGAGCACCTAAAATATACTTTCTTAGCAAGTTCTCAACAAAAATCCAATATTATTAACTATATTACCCATGATGTACATTAGATCTCTAGACTTATTCATTTTATGTAAATCCAGCTTTGTATCCTTTGACCTACCTCTTATCATTCTACCAACATTCATTTTACTCTTTGTTTCAATGTACACATTTTTTCCTCCAGATTTTACATATGAGATCACACAGTATTTTTCTTTCTGTGTTTGACTTGTTTCACTTGTTTTAGCATAATATCCTCCAGTTTCATCTGTGTCATTTAAAACAACAAAATCTTCCTTTTTAAAGCATGCCTAATGTATGTGCGCATGTGTGCGTGCACACACAGATCACAATATTCATCTCTTAGGGCTGCTTATGTTATTTCCATATCTTAACTCTTGTGAATAATGCTGCAGAAAACATGGTTTCACAAATATCTCTACCAGATAAACATAAAGTCCATTTTGTTTGACATAAGTTTAGCCACCATATCTCCCTATTGGTTTCCACTGCATGGAATATCTTTCAAGCTCTCCATTTTCAGCTTATGTGTGTCCTTAAGGCTAAATGAGCTTCTTTTATATAGCATCAGATGGATCTTAATTTTTAAAATTAATTCAGCTACTCTACATCTCACTATGGACAAATTTAATCTATTTATATTTAAAATAATTATTGATATGTAAGGACTTACTATTGTCACTTTGTTTTTTGTCTTGTAGTTCTTTTGATCCTGTTCTTATGGCCTGACAGTTTTTTTAAACAAACATTTTATCTGACTCAGCTATCTCTTAGTTTATTTCTTTTAAAAAATTAGTGGTCATCCAAGAGTTTGTAATGTACATTTACAACAAGTTTATACTACTTTCACATAATGCTCTACTGCTTCACAAGTAGTATAGGTACCCAACACTAAAGACTACCCATTTCCTTCCTCTTGTGGCTATAACATTTCTGTCATTCATCTTTTCACTATTCCATATATCATAATTACTCACTGTGGTGGGGGTGTTATTGCTATTTTTATGCCAATTACAAAATAAAAGAATAGCCACATTTGTTTCTGGATATTCTAGGAAGCCACATTTGTTTCTGGATATTCTAGGAATACATTGCTTAACTTTACCCAGTTTCTAAAGACTTTGTTTGAAGCCCCTTATACCTTAATTAATTAATTAGGTTGTCCTGGGGATTGCAGGAACCCACAGCCTTCCTTGTGACAGGCAAGCACTACTATAGAGCAATATCCCCTGCCCCCATTTACCCATTTTAAAAACAAACATTAGAATGGCAGATAGAGGGATGTTCCATTTCCAATTGCTCCATGGCAATGGGAATAGTTTCTCAGTGAGGTGGGTGACAGGGGGAATTCACTGAAATTCAGGATCAGGCAGTCAGAGTTTCTTAGAAACTCAGAAATTTGGGTGCGTTGGACAAAGAATAAGAAAGAGTATGTTAGAGCCAAAACCATTGCAGCAGCAGCAGCAGCAGCAGCAGGGCTGGTTTACCTCAGAGGGGAGGGATAATACAAACAGAGAGAAACACAACTGACAGATTTGGCACAGAAAAACCTGTACATCAGAAAAGCAAATAGAACTTAACTGATGCAGACGCTGCACAGTGAACTGTGTTTAAAAAGTGTTTTGTATTTCTCAACTGGAAAATGGAGAGCCATCTTGAGGAGGTTACACTTCATCTTGCTGCTGTTGGAACTCATAGCAAACATTGCTATACTGCCCTGGCAAGCACATAACATGTGGCCTATGGTGTTCCTAGCACAATATGTTTGAAAAAGGCACAAAGAAGACTGTAGTCAGGGAGATTCAAGTCAGAAAAATAAAGGGGAGCCAACTTGTTTTTCTTTGGGGTCTGACAGCTCATACAACCAGCTGAAGAGGGCCAGAAAGCTGAACAGAGTGGTGTGAACACACTCAGTGACTAAATGTGGGAACATTGTGATTATGAGTAGCAGAGCGTGTGGAGGATTGGTTCCCATGCTCTGCAAGTAGAATTCTTGGGACGCTCCTGGGATCCAGACTCCCAATCAAGATTGGCATCTGCCAGAACCTAGAGGTGTGTTGATCTAATCCCTTCAGAGCAGATACCACCTAATGAAGCCTGTAAAAACCCATAAGACCTAGGCTCCAGTCATTGGAACTCCGCACACAGAACTCTTCAGTAGCCCTGTCCTGGGAGTGCATCCATCTGGGCTGTCCAGACAAAATTTCAAAGAGTACTTTTCATTCCATCCTACCTTATATAGGTGAGAAGGGAATGTTGAAAGTCAGATTTAGGCCACTCCAACTAGCAGATTGGTGAGCAACACAAAAAGGAGAAGAGGTTAACAACCTCAGCCCTTGCTCTGCCTGCTACTCTCTCTGTGTCAGTACACAGCCCAAGAAGAAACAGAAACAAGGATAGTTGAGCATAGGTAGTGACCATCCATTCATTTTCTTTAACTGTTTTATTCATCTCAATGGAGAAAATCTTAATTTTCAGTATGAATCTTTTCCATTTTTTGTTCTTGCTGTGTTGATTGGCTTATAGATATCTATATATATATATATATATATATATGTGTGTGTGTGTGTGTGTGTGTGTGTGTGTGTATTACATATATGTATGTAATATACACACACACACATATATATACATTCACACACACACACATGTATTTCTCATTTCTCATATTTAGCATTTTTAAGATGTAGTGGTTTTTCTTTTTTGAGGGTTAGGGCTTTTGATCTATCTATCTATATATTTTTTGTTTTGTTTTTGTTTCTCTTGTTTCTTTTTCCTCTCCATTCTTGTCTTGCTAACACGAAATTTTCTTGTTCTCTCTCTACTTGTTCTTCTCCTCCTTCCTTATAACCATCACTGGATACATCTTATCTGCATTCTCTGTTCACAATTTGAACATTCTAAACTCTCTTTATTCTATCATATTTTCTTTTCTCTTAATGAACTGTATTTTTAACATCTTTTAGAACTATATGGTTTGTATAACTCCTGCCCCCAACATTTATGTTGTTGTGATTCTTACTACTATGGATGACAGAGTTGACACCTGCTGTTTATATTAATTCCAGATATAGTTCATGGTTATTTACTGTTTTGGCTGTTGACAATTGTTGAACCCATCATTCTTGTTTCTGTGGTAGTGTTGTAGATATCATAGTAGGCACCAGGTATTTATTTATTTTTTCAGATTTCAGTTTCTTTTTTTAAAATTTTTCTTTAGTTGTACACAACACCTTTATCTATCTATTTATTTATCTATTTATTTATTTATGTGATGCTGAGGGTCGAACCCAGTGCTTCACATGCAAGGCAAGTGCTCTACCGCTGAGCCACAACCTCAGCCCCTTTCCCGCTAAGCCACAACCTCAGCTCCTCACAAGGCATTTATTTTAATGCTGTATATTGTTTGCTTCTCTGTGTGCTATTACTTGTTTCCCTTTTTTTCTGTGAGGTTCAGGTAATACACAGGGACACTGAAAGTTCACAGGGAAGAGATTTTGATACTGAATTAAACTCACTCAGCCAAAAGAAAGCACACTTTGCTCCACACATAAATTAACCAAACTCAAACTACAGCTATACTTTTCTACGAAGAAGAGAAGAGACTAAAACCCAAAGCTCCAAATAGAAATCTCTATGGGTGGGTTTACAGTCTCTGGACATCCACTTCTACAACAAATAACAACAACAATGACACAGAATTACCACAAAGCCTGAGAATACCACACCTGTGAGGGGGGGTCTCAATCTAGATTACTCTAGGACAATTTGGCATGGGAAAGCTGTGGTCCAATCATAAGCATGAAAGATATATACATCCCAACAAATGCATAAACTCCGACACAGGAATACAAGAAATGTGAAAAAACAAGGGATAGTTAACTGGCAACTTACCCCAAAGATATTGAAATGGATGAAATATCAGATTAAGATGTCAAAAGAATGATTATAAAAATAATGAATTCCAAGAGAACACAGAAAAATGACTGAATGATTTAAGGAAGTCAATATGAATGAGAAATTCAGTAAGGAGAAAGAGATTTTAAAAAGAACCAATTAGACGGGGCTGGGGCTGTAGCTCAGTGGTAAAGCACTTGCCTTGCATGTGTAAAGCACTGGGTTTGATCCTCAGTACCACATAAAAATAAATAAAGATACTGTGTGTTCATCTACAATTAAATAAATATTAAGGAAAAAATGAACCAATTAGAAATCTTGGAAATGAATGACAGAATAAATCAAGTACAATATTCAGTTAAAAGTCTCTTTAATAGAGTAGACAATGCTGAAGACAGAATCTCAGAGATGGAAGACAAAGTGACTGGCCTTGAACATTTAGAGAGTATTAAAGAAAATAAGTAACCCTAACCATAATGTACAAGAACTCTGGAACAACATTGACACTAAATTTAAGAATCAGAGAAATTGAAGGGGGTGTGAGATGAAGACTCATGTCATGGATAACCTCTTTAGAGAAGTAACAGAAAAATTTCCAAGCTTTGAGAATGAATGGACATTCAGCTACAAGGAGGCATTTAGAACCTTAAATAGACAAGGAAAAAAAAGAACTTCTCAACAATACATCATAATTAAAATGTTTAACATACAGAACAAAGATAGAATTTTAAAAGCTTTAAGGGAAACAACATCAGGTCACATAAAGAGGCAAGCTAACCAGAATTACTTCTGATTTCTCAGCAAAAATTCTGAAAGGTTTTGGAATGATGTGTTCCAAGTCCTGAAAGAAAATAATGTCAACTTGCTGTGACTTGCATGGCTGAACCTTTAGAAAACCAAAAAGGGGTGATATGGAATTAAGAAAAACACACAGATATTGAGAGAAAGCTGGGATCAGATAGAACACTGCTGTCTGATGGAGAAAGAGTGACTGAAGAGCTGACCCAGCAAATTTGTTTATTTTATAGGTTCTCATCATCGAGAAGTTAAAGACTATAGAGGTATTGTTTTTTGTGCACTAGAAAGTTACCGGGCTACAAACATTCTTGGAGCTATTTCACTGTTACAATGCTTGGAGCTTCCTGCAGCACTTAGGAAGCCCATTGTCTAAAGTTAATGTTAAGCAGGCAGGTTTGGAAGTAGCAGCACTGGTGAAACATTGTGGTTTTCTTGACATACTCAGAAATCCTCTATTCTCTGGACCTTTGTGTCTGAGATCAAGGACAAAACTGATAAGACTCTTTCACAGAGACTCTTCAGGCTGGCCATCACCATAGCAAGTTGGCATCCCTTGCACAGAAACATTCCCAGATAGCAGGCACACCACAGCCATGAATCAATCATGGACTCCCAATCTGAGTCATCACTGTCCACATCAACCAATATTGCTATATCTAACAAAGCATCCTTCAAAATTGAAAAAGAAATAAAAACCTTTCAAGGTAAGCAGAAGCTAAATGAATTCATGACTACAAAGCTGACACTACAGAACTTATTTAAAGAAATACTGCCTACAGATGAAATAAAAAGTGAACAAATCTCATTTGAAGAGTAGCTAAGTAAATGAGAACGAGAACTAAATTACATATTGTAAATCAAAATGGTAAGATTTAATAAACATCTCTCTAAAACAACAGTTAATGTGAATGATCTTAACTCTCTAATTAAAAGATAGGCTGGCAGAATGAAAAAAAAAAAAAAACAGAAAACAAAACAAGACCCAACTTCAGGTTGCTTACAAGAGATTCACATTACAGGAAAAGGCAACCACAGTAAAAGAATAAAATTGATATACCATGCCAATGCAGCCTGAAAACAAGCAGGAGTAGCTACTCTCATATTCTAACAAAGCAGAATTCAAAACAAAATTAATCAAAAGAGGAAAGATCATGTCCTATTGACAAAGGAAACTATTCAACAAGAATATATAATGATAGTAAATACTTATGTCCCCAATGTGGGTGCATCTAATTATATAAAATTAATACTATTCAAATTAAAGACTCAGCTCCCAGTACAATAATGCTGGGTGATTTCTATATTCCACTCTCATCAATAGGTAGTTCATCCAGATATAAACTCAGTAAAGACATTTTGGACCTAAAAATATTATAAATCAAATGGAATCAACATACATCTTTAGAATATCCAACATACATCTTTAGAATATCTAACATTACTTGAATATAGTTTCTTCTCAATGGCTCATGAAACCTTCTCCAAAAGACCATATTTTAGGCTGCAAAACAACTCTTAGCAAATACAAAAATAATTTTTGTAATTCCTTGCACCTACTTAGATTATAATGGAATTAAATAGGAAATCAACACCAAAAAAATTACAGAAACTACATAAACTCATGGAGATTGAATGATACACTTTTGAACGATGAATGAGTGAAAGAATAATTCAGGGGAGAAATTTAAAAATTCTTAAGTTCAAATGAGAATAATTATATAAAATACAAGAACCCTTGGGGCACCATGAAGGCAATTCTAAAAAGAGAGTTTATAACTATGAGTGCCTGCATAAGAAAATCAAGAAGATCCCAAATGTACAACCTAATGATGCATCACAAAACACTTGAAAAAGGTAGAAAAAAAGAATTCTACTATGTGAAATTTGCCCAAAAGCTCATGTGTGAGACAATGCAAGAAATTTTAGAGCTGAAATGATTGGGTTATGAGAGTCTTAATCTAATCAGTGCATTAATTCTGCTGGATGGATTGACTGGGTGGTAGATTTTGGCAGGTAAAGTGTATTTGGAGTAGGTAGGTCCTTGGGTGATGCCTTTGGGGTATATATTTTGTTTCTGGTTAGTGAAGCTCTCTCTATTTCCTGGTGCTCTGTATAAGCTGCTTTCGGTTGCCACAACCATAATTTTCTGCCTCACCTTGGGTCTGGAATTATGGAGTTGACCATCTATGGACTGAGACCTTGAAATCATGGATGCCAAATAAACTTTTTCTGGAGTTCTAAAATTGTTCTTTTCAGGTCTTTTAGTCACAGCGGTGACTAAACAAAAATAATGCTGACTAAAACAAATTCTAAAACCAGTAGAAGGAAGTAAATAATTAAAATCAGAGCCAAAAATCAATGAAATTGAGAATTAAAAAAATATAAAGGATCGATGAAATGAAGAGTTTGTTCTGTGAAGATAAGCAACATTGGGCTGGGATGTGGCTCAAGCAGTAATGTGCTAGCCTGGCATGCACGGGGTGCTGGGTTCGATCCTCAGCATCACATAAAAAAAATAAATAAATAAAGATGTTGTGTCCACCGAAAACTGAAAAATAAATATTAAAAAATTCTCTCTCTCTCTCTCTCTCTCTCTCTCTTAAAAAAAGATAAGCAACATTGATAATCCCTTAGCCAAACTAACCAAAAGAAAAAACAGAAGATCCAAATTAATCAAATGAGAGATGAAAAAGGAGAAATCACTACAGACATTACAAAAATTCAGAGGATTATTAGAGACTACTTTGAAAACTTTTACTTCAATAAATTGAAAAACCTGTAAGAAATGGATACATTTCTAGATACATATGGCCTGCCAAAATTGAATCAAGAGGACATAGAAAACCTATATGAACCTACAACTAGCAATGAGATGGAAGCATTAATAAAAACCTTTCAATAAACAAAGTCCAAGACCAGATGGATTCTTAACTGAATTTCACCAGACTTTTAAAGAAAAACCAGTGCAAATGGTCCTGAAATTATTCCATGAAATAGGAAATGATAAAATACTTTCAAATTTATTCTAAAAAGCCAGTATCACACTTATACCAAAACCAGAGGTGGATGCATCAAGAAAACCACAGACCAATATCCCTGACGAAATTATATGCAAAAATTCTCAATAAAATATTAGCAAATATTTTATATAGTTATGTATTTTATATATTGTATATACTTTATATATACAATATATAAGAAATGAAGCTGGAAGGAACTCACCTCAACATTATAAAGGCTATATATGAAAACTCAAAGTCAATGGCACAGTGAATGGGGAAAAACTGAAAGAATTTCCTTAAAGATATGTCACTACTCCTATTCATTATAGTTCTAGGTTCTGTTCAGAGCAATTAGGCAAGGGAAGGAAATAAAAGGGCTAAAAATAGGAAAGGAAGAACTCAAATTATCACTGTTTGAAGATATGATCCTATACTTACAAGATCCATAAAGCTCCACCAGAAGACATTTAGAGCTAATAAACAAACTTCACAAAGCAACAGGCTCCAAAATCAATATACAAAAGTTAATAGCCTTCTTATACACCAATAATGAATCTGCTAGCTAGATGCAGTGGTGCATGCCTGTAATCCCAGAAGGTCAGGATGCTCAAATGCTCAGGCAGGAGGATTGCAAATTCAAACCCAGCCTCAGCAACTTAGTGATGCCCTAAGCAACTCAGTGAGAATCTGTCTCTAAAATACAAATACAATAAATAAATAAATAAATAAATAGGTGTTGGGGATGTGGCTCAGTGGTTAAGTGCCCCTGAGTTCAAACCCTGTTACCTCCCCTACCGTCCCCCCCCAAAAAAAAACCTGTTGAGAAAGAAATCATGAAACTAGTCCTATCAAAAATAACTCCCATACCTCCTCACACAAAGTCCCAGGAATTAATATAACCAAGGAGGTGAAAGATCTCTATAATGCAAACTATAAAACATTGAAAAAAGAAATTGAAAAGATAAAGAAGATAGAAAGATCTCCCACATTAGTGGATAGGCAGAATTAGTATTGTTAACATGGACATGCAACCAAAATAAATATCCAGGTTCAATCCAATCCCCATCAAAATGAAATTCTTCACAGAACTATTAAAAGTAGTCCTAAAATTCATGTGGAAGAATAAAAGACCCAGAATAGCTAAAGCAACTCTAAGCCAGAAAAGGCAATGCTGAATGCATTACAATGCCTGATTTCAAATTATATTATAGAGTTATAGTAACCAAAACTTCATGGTACTGGCATAAAAATAGATACACAAACCAATGGGACAGAATAGAAGACACAGAGACAAATTCACAGTCTACAGTCATCTGATTCTTGACAATGGCGCCAAAAACATTCATTGAAGGAAAGATAGCTTTTTAAACAAATAGTGCTGGGGAAACTGGTTATCTATATGTAGATGAATGAGATTAAATCCTTATCTCTTGCCCTGCACAGAAGTCAACTCAAAATAGATGAAAGACCTCACAATTAGACCAGACACTATGCAACTCCTTGAAGAAAATATAGGTTCAACTATGCAGCTTACAGCCAATAACTTTCTCAATAGTATCCCTAAAGGCTCAAGAAATAAGGCCAGAATTTAATAAACCAAATGGCATCAAATTAAAAAGTTTCTTCACAGCAAAGAAAACAATTAAGAATGTGAAGACAGAATGTAGAAATGGAAGACAATTGTTGCTAGCTACTCTTCAGAGAGAGAATTATATCCAGAGAATTATATCCAGAATTTTATCAATTATTCCTTCAAATATTTCTTTAGCTTGAAACTTTCTTCTCCTTCTGGTGTACAAATTACAAAATATGTTACAGACTTTGAAGCTTGTTCTAAGATAACTAAAGAACTAAAAATGTTTGCCCCTGCAAAAGCAAATAATCCAATTAATAAATGGGGAAATGAACTAAATGTTCATTTCTCAAAAGAAGAAATACAAATAGCCAAAAATATACAAAAAAATGTTTAACATTATTAGCAATTACGGAAGTGCAAATGAAAATAACACTGAGATTTCATCTCACTCCAAGAGAATGGCAACCATCAAGAATACAAAAAATAATAAATGCTAGAGAGAATATGAAGAAAATGAAACATTTGCACACTGTTGGTGGGATTGTAAATTAACACAACGACTCTGGAAGTTAGTATGAAGTTTTCTCAAAAGACTAGGAAGGGAACCACAATGTGACCCAGCTGTATTACTCCCTGGTATTTATCCTAAAGAATTTTAAGTCATCATAGTACAGCATTACATTCATACACATGTTCATGGCAGCCCAACTCACAATAACAAAAATATTGAACCAAAAATCTAGGTATCCATCAACCAATGAACAGGTAAAGAAAATGTAGTATCCATACAAAATGGAGTTTTTCTCAGCCATAAAGAAAAATGAAATTATGTCATTTGCAGGAAAGTAGATGGAACTTGAGGCAATTATAATAAACAAAATAAGTCAAACTCAGAAGGTCAAGGGTTGTATGTTTTCTCTTATATATGGAAGCTAGGGAGGAAAAAGGGAAAAGGGGTGTATTGTCTCACAAAAATTGAAAGCAAATCAGTAGAGTAGAGAAAAGGGGATAGGAGGAGAGAGGAAGTGAGAAAACGAGGAAATCATGGAAAAGAATATGGGCAAAATTATATTGTTATGTTGTGAGTATGTACAAATATGCAACAACGAATTCCCTCATTATGTACAACACTAAATTCCCATAACAATATGGAAACAAATAGAACCAACATTGGTAGGTGGGCAGAAAAAAATAAGAAAATAAAAATTTTAGTTTATTTTCATTTATTCTCTCACCAGTCATTTTCTTATCTTTTATATGGATCGGATAACATTATTTTTCTTCTCCCTAAAGAGTTTAATTTAACTTTTTTTCCTCTCTATTCTTGGCATTGAATCCAGGGGCACTCTGCATTTGAGCCAAATCCTCAGACTATTTTATTTTTTAAATTTTAGACAGCATCTGGCTAAGTTGCTGTGGCTGTCCTATAACATTGCATTCTCTTGCTTCTACCTTCTGATTAGCTGGGGTTATAGGACAAAACCACCCTACTGGCCCCACATTTTTTGTCTTTTCTTGCAGGATGATTCTTCTAATAATGATTCCTTCTCTCTCTTTCTCTCTTTGTTAGAGAAATATTTCATTTATTTTTCAATTTTGAAGTGTAATTTCTCTGGATATAGAATTTGAATTTGATGCTTCTTTTTATTTCAACCCTTTAAATATTTCACTCTACTGTTTCTTTATGTTTGCATGGTTTGTGTTGAATTTGTCCGCAATTCTTATCTTTGTTTCTTTTTGGATATTGGACTCTAATCAAGAGATGTGGAGGATGAAAGAGTTTGAGTGATTGGCTTGAGGTCACATAAGAAGTCATACCTGGCACCCAGATATTCGCTTCTATTCAGAGAAACGTTGGATGAGACAGTTAGAGTTTGCATTCACAGAGCATCTAGGAAGTAATCTCTCCAAATTGAGGTGAGCAAGGGTGAGCCCACATGATGATTATGTAAGTTTACCAATGCCTTACTGTGGGAGAGAGGTTATGCTCGCAACAAGAATGAGTGATTTCCTCTGTAGGGATTCTTGCTCTACCTACTTATACAACTTTATTTAGGTCATCTTCATTTGTCGCATGGTCCTTGACCAAGTTATATTCTGATGTTTCTACTCCCTACCAGAGGGAACACCCACAGGAATCAAAATTGTTTCCATCTTTGTCTACCAGAAATTTCTGAGCTCTTGGATCCAAAAGTTATTAATATTTTTCATGTTTCTTAACTTAAAACAGAAGTTTTGAGACAAATGTTAGATAGTGTGTTGGATAGTGCCATCCAGATTTGCATGTGGGAAAGATATTTAATTAGTGTTCTGATAAGGGAAGAAGGAGGAGGGCAAAGTTGACACAGATCCTAGGTTGAAAGAGAGAGAGCTGTTTAATGGTAGTAGCAGCTCCAGTGACTTCAGAAAAAAAATATAAAGATGGGTTTCTTAAGTGGATGGGTGCTATGTTGAAGTCCTCTAGGAGGTAGAAGGATTTTTTTAAGGGATGAAATGATGTTTGCTGATAAGACTAGTAGTCAAGGCCCATTAGCTTATGAACTGAGACAAAACATTGCATTGTCCAACGTTGGCATATTGCTTTATACTAAATAAACAGGCAAAAGGTCCCCACGAATGACTAATATTGGATATCTTCCTACTTTTCAAAGTGGGGTTTTTTCACCAAATTTAATTTAGAAACATCACATGCTGCTTGTACTTAAGAACTTTGGAAAACATTTTCTCCTGTTCCTCACTTTTATTTTGTACTGCTAGGGATTGAACTCAGGGTCTCATGTATGTTAGGCTAGTGTTTTGCTACCGAGCCATCCCCCTACCCCCAAATTTGTGCCTTTATGTATATTATAAACATTTAATCTTCGTAAGGCTTTGAAGCAGGTAACTTTTCCTATTTTTTCAAAAGGGTAACCTGAGGGATATAGAAACTAGTATATTTATTGGGCTAGCATGGAAAAGGAAGCCAGGAATGGACAGTCCTTACTCCCTAATTGTGAGGAATTAGTCATATATAAATCACCTTGAACATTATGGTTTGGATTTGGAAATGCACTCTCCACAACATATTAGCTAATTCAGAAATGTTCAGAGGTAAATGATTAGATTACGAGAGTTGTAGCATCATCAGTGGAGCAATCCATTTGATGGGATCATAATTTGAATGGACTACTGGGTGGTCCACATAGACAGGTAGGGTGTAGCTGGAGGAAGTGGGACACTGGGGACTGTCCTAGGGGAATGTATCTTGACCCTTGATGCTTGGGTACTTTCTGCTTCCTGGCTGCCATGAACTGAGCAGCTTTCCTCCACCATGTTCTTCCACCATGTTGTTCTGCATCACTTCAGGCTCAAAGCAATGGAGTCAGCTAACCATGAAGTAAATCTCGGAGACTGTAAGCCCCAAATACACTTTTCCTTCTCTAAGTTATTCTTGTCAGGAATTTTGGACATAGCAATGAAAAACTGGCTAGCACAACAAATATAATTCAATTGACTTAAATAAAAAAGAGAAGTTGTCAACTCAGGTATCTGAAAAAAGTTGGGAAGGAAGGCAAGCTTCAGGCAGCAGGGTTCATGCTGGGCCTCAATTGATGCCATCAGGATCATTTTTTTTATTTGTTTCTATTCATGCCTTTAATTCTAGACTCGCTTCATTTTAAGACTTTGAGTCTAGTAAGTTCATAGCTACATCCTCTAAGTTTCAAGGGTAGGAGAAATGGGTCTCTCACTAGGTCCTTTCAAAAATCCCTTTGATTTTTATTGTCTCCACTTGGTTCCCACACCCTTTCCTTACAAATCACTGCTACCAGAAAAATGAAATGCTCCTTTTCACCATTTCTGAGTTATATATCATCCTTAAAATAAGAGTAGAGAGGAAAGACAACTTCACTTGCTCATGGTCTGAAACTGAGAACGGAGTTAGTTCCCCAGAGGGCAATAAGGTGAGTGAATGCTAGGTGACAAAAACAAAACCCAAACAGATGTCTACCACAGCATTCTTTCTTACCATTCCATTTCTGCTTTATTCTCCAAAGTGATGTCATTTAGTAAGCATAGAGTTGCAGGAAGAATGTTGATTCTGGGGAGTCTTTTGGAGAAGAAAGAGGTGGATTGATTTTCAGAACAAGGGGCTTTAAGTGGGAGGAATCACTTGGAGGACCCAACATCCAGCTGAATAGGCCATCCAATAACATGACCTCTCATGCACCCTTTCTCATCTTAGAGCCAGTTACCCTCATTCCAGGTCAGTGATTGCCACTCCGTAGAACTTAAAACTAGGAATATCTGTGACCTCTGAAAAAAATAAAGTCTGACATTACACACTTTGTCCTTCTGGCTTATGCCCTCAATATGCCAATGTTTCAATCCTATTGATCCACCAATATTTCTCTAATTTTCTCCTCTTTCCAAGAAAAATTTCATAGCCTACCCTTAACCACAAATCTGAATAGCTTCACTTTAAACGGTCTCCCCCAATCTCCTATCATCTTTTCTGTGCAGCAAATCCAACTCTACCTTTTTTGGATCTGTCATCTAAAATGGGGCTACTTCTCTGGGGTAATATAAACACACACACACACACACACACACACACACACAAGTATATTGGTGCCACCATTAAGTCATCATCTACAATTAAATGGTCAGTTTCAATATACCTGAAGAGAATCCTTTCATTCCTTCTCAGATTGGTTTATGCTAGGCACTTGGGACACACCATTGAGGAAACAAAGCTCTTATTAGGAGTTTATATGATTGCTTTCTTAGTCATTTCCCTTGCTTCTCTACTCAAAAACTATTTCACTTTCTTAAATTTCTCTAGTCTCCTCCATTAAGCATGTTTTGGACCACCATACAAGAATAAAAACTGAAAAGTTACTCCAAATACCTTGAACTCGCATACCTCCTTTGTTCTTTCCTTCCTATTATTCTGCAAAAGATTTCCTTGGATGCCTGCCTTGATTCTCCCAGGCTGGAATCTGTCCGTGCTTTCCAATTCACAGCAGTGTGTTGGGACATTAAGCTTAAATTCTACCTCCCAGGATGCGACCATGTCTACCTTATTGATGGCTTTGTACCCAGCATTTGGTAATTAGAATCTAGTGGGGCTCAGAAACATCTGGAGGGGTGAAGAAGCAATGGGGAGGATTTCAGATGGATGCACTGGGGTGAGGCGATGCTGGGGGCTGGAGTGATGCCGGGGCGGGCCTCTGCTGGGGGCAGGGCAGGGCTGTGTGGGCGGGGCCAGAGAAGTCGTTGTTTGGCTTCTTAATGTTGGCAGTGGGTCTCAGCTCTGTCTTCTTGATCCCTTTTCCTTTACTTCCTGAAGATAAGAGTTGTGATTTGTCTCCAGATGAGGTTCTGCCAGGGGTTTCTGTCACCTGAGTGACCTTCTTCCTGCTCTGTCTGAAGGATCTTTTTCCCTTCACCTCCATGACTGACCCGGAGGTGGAGCCTACAGGCTGCAAAGCTGCTGCACTCCAGCAACTCAGAAATGGCTCAGAGGCCTATATGTGGGGCTGTGCCTGGGAAATACTCATGGAGGAAGATTATACTAATTAGAGAACAATAGTGACAGCTGTTAAGGCTTCACATCGCACAGGCTGTGTGCCCTTACCTAAGTCACATAACCTAAGTCTCTTAGCTCATATATGACGTGGGAGATACTAATCCTTAATGACAGGACTGGGCATGAGAAGTGGAATGAACTAGTAAATGAAGAGCTCTGTTCAGGTAGGACCCAAGTTAAGGAGTGGGCCCAGGGCCTTCTGCAGTTACCTCATGGGCTTTGCCAGGCTCAGAGAGCCCAGTGCCTTGGCAATGCCTGCAGTGGATAGAAGGAACTGTGTAAGGGTCCAAGTGCCAGTCCAAATGCTGCTTTAAGAAAGCATCATCCCTAATTCTGTAGGACTAGAAACTAGAAGATGGATGCTCAGAACTCATTGTTTTCATAGGACTCAACAGTTGCTTCAATCTGCTGTCTCACATGGACTCCAGTGAGTCTAGTAGGAGTGGTTGGTGGGTACCCTGGAAAAAGCTTATCAAGACCTAGTGCCAAGGCTGACAGAAATGAGGTCTGCTCCTAAGGTGTAGAAGCAGAATTGTTTGTCACTCCCTTAAAGATCCAGGACCATAAGATCTGAGGCTCTGCAGTAGATAGGACTGCAAACTTTTTTAAGGTAATTCTTTGTTTAATGATACATTCATTTATTTATTGAATTCCTACTGTGCGGTTTTGTAATTCTACCTCTTCCAAATCTAATCATGCTTAGATTCGGAAGACATAGAAGGGAATCCTTTTAGTAATTTTCTGTTTTAGAGAGTAATATGTAGCAAATTTGAAAGAAATGAAAAAGTAGAAGAACCCCACAGATTTCCAGCCTCAAAACAATTAGTCTTAATATTTTGATGTTTCTTTTCAGATATTGCTAAGTTTATCTTTTACATTGCTTAAAAATATGCCCTTAAAAGGAAAAACACACTATTCATACACATTTTTGTGTTATTATAAGCTGTATCTTTTGTACATTGTCTTCATTTTCTTCAGGTATATACCCAAGAACGTTATAGCTGGATCAAATGGTAGTACTATTTTTAGTTTTTTAAGGACACCTCCATATTGTTTTCCATGGTAGCTGTACTAATTTACAGTCCCACCAATAGAATATCAGGATTCCTTTTTTCTCCACATCCTCACAAGCATTTATTTTTTTTTTTAATGATAATAGCCATTCTTTTGTTTCCTGAGCTATTAGAATCCTGAGGAAATCTTTGCCTGTGCTGATATCTTAATGTATTTCACCTATGTTTCCCTCTAGTAGTTTTGGAGCTTTGATCTTATATTAAGGTTTTTGGTCCATTTTGAGTTGATTTTTATACTGGGTGAAAGAGAAGGATCTAGTTTCAATCTTTATGTGGATATCTGGTTTTCCAAGTACCTTTGGTTGAAGAGGCTGTCTTTTCTTTAATACATATTTTTGCCTTCTCTCTGATGAGTAAGTTGACTGTTGATGTGTGAATTTATTTTTTGGACTCTCTTGCCGCTGTCTGGCTGGCAAAATCACGAGCCACTCACAGCCTTGTAGATTCAAATAGCAATTCTTTATTCTCAAACTGTCACCGGCACTCTACAGGCACATTCTGGGAAAATCCACACACTCCACTGGGCTCTGCATACCAAATACTCTCTGAATCCCAGGAGAACTCAATGGGAACTCAAGGAGTGGGCGCCTGAGGCAGCAGGATACTCCCTATTCCCAGCAGGATCCACCTTAAACCTGGAACCACCCTATTACAAGCAGGATTGACCCTAAACCCAGATCCACCCTAAACCCGGATCCACCCTGGTCCTTGAGCATGGTCACCTTTCTCAAACATTCATGCAATGTCACTGCAAATGACCTGGGTCCAAGGCAAGCCCATTTCCACAATGGAGAGTCCTCCCTCTAGGCAACATTGGGTAGGCTGACAAGGAAATTGCCATGCGTAATTCCTACTTGGCTATGGCTCTCAGCACTCTCTATTCTACTCCACTAGCTTATATATTTTTGTTTATGCCAATATAATTTTATTTTTGTTACTATGGCTCTATAGTATATTTTGAAATCAGGTATTGTGATGCCTCCAGCATTGATCCTTTTGCTCAGAATTTGTCTCTTTGTGCTCTTTTGTGCTTCCATATGAATTTTAAGATCCCCGCCCCCCAAGTTCTGTGAAGAATATCATTGTTATTTTGGTAGAAATTGCACTGAATCTGTAGATTTCTTTGGATAGCTCAGCAATTGTAACAATAGCAATTTTCCTAGTCCATGAACATTGTGTGTGGGGGGGTGGGGGAGTGTATCTTTCTACCAAAACCAAAACAAAACAAGACACCCAAACTAACAAGTACGTTTCCTCATTTAAAAAATTAAAAGTCTCATAAGACTAAAGATCACACCTTCCTAGGAGGTAGACACTCTATTACTACATCAGTTTGATGTGCATTCTGTTTTGACCTAGAATATGGGTAGTTTATTTATTTTACACTAAAAGGTATCATGTATGTGGCTCTATAGCAATAGTTCCTTTGTTCAACAGATATCTTGTCAATCAAGTTCCGTGTGTGTACGTGTGTGTGTGTGTATGTGTGTGTATTTAACTGCTACATAGTTTTTCTTTAGATGGATATTTCATGGCATGTTTTCAGATTATTTTACATGTATTTCCTGTTTTTATCATTATAAAAATGCTGCCATAAATACCCTTCTAGATGCCTCATTGTACATTCAAGTGCTTTTCTAGATTGTATACCTAGAAATGGAATTTCTACATCAGACTGTTCAAATTTTTAAAAACATGTATTCTTTATTTAAAAATTTCAGTGAAGAAGTTGATATAAGTAATCTATGTGATAAATGCACGTTAGAAAATCACTGGAAAATTTTGTAATGAAAATTAGTCTTCTCAGTCTGGAACCAACATAGTTGATGCTTAACTTACAATGAGTTAAATATTATAAGCCAGTTATTTTAATTATGTCTTTCATTTTGGGTTTGTGTGACATTTCTCATGTTTAGTTTCATGTTATATGTCTTTGGTAGGAATAGCACACAAGTGAGACTGACTTCTTATTTCATCCAGTCTGGTATTACATGATTTAAATTAATCCCATTTCTAATGTTGCTCAACTGAATCACTTGATTAAAGTACTGCCTGTTGGACTTTTTACTAAAAATTTATGTGTTTTTGTTTGTAACTGCTATTTTGTATTCTTTGATACTAGTGCTTATTTTGTTTTTCATCAAACTTTTCATTTATTTATTCATATTTAAATGGCCTAATGGTTTCTATTTTATTTAGTTAATTATATTTCATTCTTTTAATATTCATTTTGATGTTCATATTGTCAGAGATTTGGACAGTTGGAGACATTTCAAATTGACTTCTTGGTCCTTCTGAGGTATCTTCATTACTCTTTGAACACTTTCTTATCCAACAACACATATAAGGGTCATCTTATATTTTTTCCTGCACCAGTCCTACTATCAACTGTTTCTCTATGAAGCCTTAATTCTATTTGCTGGAGAATAATAGTTAGAATACAATATTTAGGGAATAAGTATATTCATTGCTATTGGGATATCATTGCTACCATGATTTCTTAGTGGACAAATCTTGTTAAATACATATAAAATGTATTCATATTTATTTCTCTATATTCATTGAAAATCAGAGTTTACACCTATATTCAATTCCAATTAAATACTGTATACTACAGGGTTCATTTGTTTTCTCCCTCTCCACATATGTGACTCTTTTCATCAAAGGTAATTCTTTTCTTAAAACAGGGAAGATTAATGCTGTGCTTTTGGTAGACCAATATTAATTCTTACTTTCTCATTCCAGGTATGTCAATGACAGTAATCATGCAATATGAATGCAGTGGATTGTAGAGCTTTATCTGACAGCTGAATGTGCATGTATCCTCTTAGGAGATGTCAAAAGGAGTAAAATATTTAATTTCACATTTGTAGATATTTATACTGTATTTTGACTGCCAAAGAAGCAAAATCTTAATTTGGTATCTCAGGAGATAATCATATTGTTACACTTCAGATGAAGTAAATACATTTTGTAATATGAAAATATCTTCACAAAAAGAAATACAACTAATTGTATGATCATTAATGTCTTTAACAGTTACTGATTGCAAGCTTCAACCTCAGGTAACTCTCTGTGACTTTAAGCATTATTTAGAAAATGATCTCTGTATTTGGAAATATTTTTGATAATTATTTAACTTTTAATTAAACCATTTTAATTATATATTTTGTATATTGATATGTTTTTATTTTAAAGATTATTATTTTTTTTGGTGGTAGTGGGTATTAAACTCAGGGCACTATACTGCTAAACTATGTCTCCAGCTCTTTTTATTTTACTTTGAGATAGAGTCTTTGCTAAGTTGTCCAGAATGTTTAATCCTCTTGTCTTAGCCTCCCAAGTAGCAGAGATTACAGGCATGAACCACTATTCCTGGCTTACACTAATGTAGTTATTTAAAGGTGATGTTTGATTCTTTGATTATATTTTTTTCCTAAATACAAATATTTTAAATGCAGTATCAACTGTTCTTTTTCAGTCTTTGACCTGAGATCTCTTCTCCATCCACACATTTACTTTTTCATATCTTTAAAATACTGTACATATGCTGACCAGGCTTTACTTCAACTTTGTATATCAAATTGTTACTTCTGTCAAATAGAAAGCTTAATCTTACTATGTACAAAACCAAACCCCTGTTTTTGTACATTTAATTTTTAAATCAAACCTTATCCTCTCACATTTTTTTTCTTATTTCCATAAATGACAATATCTTTCTACAAGTTTCCAAGGCCCAAAACTTTAGAATCAGTTTGACTTCTTCCTCATTCTCCTACCAAATAATTGGTTCATCATCAAATCCTTTATAGTATATCCAGAGTCTATGTAATTATATCTTTACCTCCTCTATCATTTGGGTCAAACCACCTGATTTCTTTCTTTTTTTTTATTATATATTTAGTTTTTAGTTGTAGTTTGATACAACAGTTTTATTTTATTTATTTATGTGGTGCTGAGGATCAAAACCAGGGCTGCACACATGCTAGGTGAGGGCTCTACCACTAAGCCACAACCCCAGTCCCCATCTTATTTCTTGAAATAGCCTCCCAGTTGTCTTCCAGCATCCATTGTTTGCCTTTAAGTCTGTTCTCCACTTTGAAGCCAGTATTATCTTTTAAAAATATATATCATGTCATGTTACTTCTCTGTTCCAAACTTCCAGAATCTTTTAACTCAGGAAAAATCCCAGTGTCCTATGAGTTTCTTCCTTATGATCTTTTTACTTCTGTAGCCTAATCGCCAACATTATTTCCTTTGCTTATTCTACTCTAGCCATAGTAGGCCCTCTTGCTCTTCTTTGAACAAATCAAGAATTTCTTATATGTTCCTTGTGTTTTGAACAGTAATATTGTTATTCCATTAATATTTTATGGAATAAATAAATTTAAACTCTTTCTTAGAGACTCTATTGTTCCCAGATTCTAATAGCAGCAGTCAAATTGCACCATTTCCTAATGCTTCCTTCTCCTCTCTTTGCCTAACTCCATCTCTGATGAAGCAGATTCCACACTTTGATTCAACACCTTGTGTGTGGAAATGCGAGTTGGGTGGATAGGAAAATGGATGTGGGGAAATAGGGAAGAGCAAAACTATGCCCTCCTCCCCTCACCTCCTCACTCCCCTTCAAGCCTGAGAGTACTACCCATTTGGCAAGAAGGTAAAATTTTAACTTCAAAGGAAGTTGGTACTTTGATCAACAATCATTGAGCTAGATCATTTCTGACATTGTGAATGACTTAAAAGAAATTCTAGGTGTGGTGGCACACAACTGTAATCCCAGCTACTTGGGAGCCCAAGGTAGTAGGAGGATCCAAAGTTCACAAGTTCAAGGCCACCCTGTGGAACTTAGGAAGTCCCTGTCTTAAAATAAAGGGCTGAAGTTGTAGCTCAGTGCTTGTTTATCATGTGTGAGGCCCTGGGTTCAATCCTCTGTTAGCCCCTCCCCCCAAAAAGTAAACAAGTAAAATAAGAAAGAAGAAAAGAGGATGCATGTTGAAGTAAAATATGGAACCTTTAACCACCAACATTTCTTTTGGAAGGCTAGACAAAAATAAATCTCCAGATTGGTATAAAGGGCCTGTGAGGGCAATAAGTGATTTTTTTTTTTTTTTATAAAAACAATTCCTTCCTTCCCTCCTCCCTCCCTTTTTTCCTTTCTTTTTTGCTTACCTCATGGAATTCTATTATTCAACTTAATGGTTATTTTCCTGCTGTTCTATTTATCACAATGATTAGTAATCTTTGTTTCTGTGCTTCCCTTTACCCAGCAGAAGACAGAAGCTGCCACAGTCTGGCTGGGCACAATTCACGAGCCACTTGTCAAGCAGGAACAAACTTTATTTTTAGAACACACGCTGCATTTTGATTTGATAGTGATCCATGAGATTCTATACTTTGATTCTGATTGAATGTGACCTGAGATATCATTGATTTGCATCTGGGATGGAAAATTGTGACAATAGGGAAGACTGCATTGTGTTATGAGAGTCGGCAAACTATGACCCATGGGCTGGCTGGAACATAGCCAGATGTTTTGTGACTCTTTAAGAAAATTAAAATATGTAGACTTATGATGTATTGAATTATTCGTCAACATTTATTTCTAGCCTCCCCCTCCCTACCCAACTAATTTCATATGTGTAGAGTTTACTTCCCTGTCCTGATAACTTACTGTCTATGTGAGTTGCTTTGGCCAGTTGAATGTGAGTGAAGAAGATGGATTATCATTTCTAGTATGAGGTCTAAAAAACCATTGCAGTCTTTGGTACACCCTCCCTATTCTTTGACCACTCATAGTGACAGAAACATATACTGGGTAACTGCTGAGCCCCAATGAAAAGAACCAGTCATGGGTCTCAACAGAGGTCTCATAAGATTATATCAGCTAGTGATATTGTAGCTAACTTAGTTTGACTAATTACACTCTTTTGATATTTGCATCATAACAAACTGCCTGATAACACAATTTAGACAGAATGCATCCCTATTGTAAAGTTACACATGAATATACATCAAGTATATCTCAACCAAACCACAACTTGGGCCAAGCTCAGGTAATGAAGTACGCTCAGCAGAGACCCAACTGACATGAAGAAAGATTGATGACAAAAAAATAATATCTGTTTTGGAAGCCACTGTGTAGGATAATTTTAAAAAATGAAGTCTTGTCCTCAGTTCTTGGCAGAGAGCTCCTAAGACAATTAGAATTATGGCATTTTGTATGTTAATGATATGTAACATGATGAGAGGGGGTCCTAGATAGCTTCAAGATGAGGGTTACCAGAAAAAAACAACCATATTATTAAAAGATTTGAAATTTTAGCCCCACATACAAGTCTCTGGGGAGAGAAAGGGTCTGGAAACTGAGATCAATCATCAATAGTCATTGACTTAATGAACCATACCTTTATAAAGAAACCTGTATAAAAACTCTTTAGCAATCTGATTCAGAGAGCTTCTGGGTTGACCAATGCATTCACATCCTGGGAGACTACTTCACCCAGAGAGTACATACAAACTCAGCCTGTTCATCCCCTCTCCTCCTCTCCTAATTCTTTTTTTTTTTTAATCCATCAGAGCTATTTAGTAAGAAAATCCTTTAATATACCCTGGGTTTAATATCCAATCAATGGTCTAACCGTGCCATCTAAATTGTCCAGATTTCATAAATTGGAATAGAATATACACTCAGAAATTAAAAGGAAAATTACAAAATCCAGTTCCAAAGCAAGAGTATCCTAGATTGATGGTGTAGACAGAGGTATTAGGACATATTTACATTAATTACAAATTCACTGTTCTGAGATTGTCCCTCTCCTAATCCTTTACCATATATATCTCACCATTGATTATTCTTCTCTAGACTCCTTTATGATAAACTGGTAATTGTAAGTAAAACACTTTCCTGATTTCTGTAAGTGGTTATAGTAAATTATCAAACGTGAGGAGGAGGTCATGGAAATTCCTGAATTTTTAATGTGCTGGGAAGAAATGGGAATAACTAACTACTCCATTTGCAAATGGTGTTTGAACTAGAGACAGTCTGTAGAGTCTGTGTTAACTCTGAAAGTTAGGTCAAAATTGAATTGTTGGATACTTGGTAAATAGAATTGGTATGACAAAAAGGCACATATTTGATGTTAGAAGGAAAAAAAACACACATACTACATTTGGGGGGATACATTTTAGATAAAAGCTACATATTGAAATGAATTTGATTAATTTACTATAAACTTAGGAATAAAGTTCCCAGTGCTTTTAATGTGATCTTCATGTACATAAATTTATTCAAGTGTAGCTGGATGCTTAGTCAAAAGAGGCAAACTATAGGAGGTCCTAAGAAGTTTTAACTCATTAATACAACAAAAATTGTGAGGTACTGAAGTAATACTTAAAATTTTTTTGTCATTTATATCTTAGAGTAATTAAACTTATGAAAGTCTTGTTGAATGATTTTGTTTTTTTAAAGAAAACAAATGGAACATGACAGCACTATATATCAAACGAACTTAGAAGAGAGAAGACAAATTTTATTTTTAATTTCTGCTTAAGGCATAAGACATAAATGCCATGATGAACCTACTCCACTGGAATACATTTAGTGGAGAAAATTTTTCTTTAACTTTTATATTTTTCAAAAGTTGTTTCCCCCATGTGATCTATTTTTTTCCCTGAGATATTGTAGGTTTTTGTTAAACCTTAGAGTTGTTTTCAGGGTAATTCCTAGTCTCCAAAGCAGACTGCATACAGGAGAACTTGCATTAAAAAAAAAAAAAAAAAAAAAAAAAAAAAAAAAGTTTACTGTCCAGAATTCCATTAGAAGAGACAGGAACAATGGAACCAAATTTAGTCTTTCCAAGTAGTATCTCAAAATAAAAGTTTGTTCAATATAGCTTGGAATTTGCTAGAGATTTGGGGTGGCATAGAATTGCTTTAAGCTGTTATAATAAAAAATCAAAATAGCCTATTTAAAAAGAGTCTTTAACTGCATGTTTGTGGCATGTCATATAGTATTGTCATGCTGAAGGAGAATGGAACAAACATGAACTGAACATCTGACCCAAATATTGTATGACTTTGGAATGAGGCTTCTTAATATTTCCCTTTTCATTGCATAATATTGTATATGGTTTGAAAATACACTGAAATATTGGATGAGTGACAGTAAAAAGTGTCTCTCCATTCTAGAAACACATTGTACATTATTTACTCCATAAATAGATGTACTGAAAGGTGAATGGATATGGTTCACACTTAACTGCACTTGTATAGTTCCAACTTTTGAATATATGAAAAGACACAAGAGGATGAATTCATGAGCAATGTTTCCTGCTCTTTCAATTCTCTGGAAACCTCTACTCCATTAATGAGGTCGTGATCTTCAGTTTGAATGGCCTACCAATGACTTTCTTAATCTTTATTCCGATCTTTACAATGGTTCTCTTAATCACAGACAAGTTTCTTTAGCATGGGCAAGCTCACTGTACTTCCTTTGGGAATCAATTCCAGTCCCCCAGGACAGGAGCTACTCACTGTAAGTAGAGTCAGACCCTCATTTGGCCACTTGGATTCCTTGCAAGTATTGCTAAGTAACATCTGCTGTGGAGTGGCTCCCTAATAGCCACTTTTCTGAAACTCAGGAATTCATGACACTGTTTTCAAGAAGTCTGTGAGAACCAAAATTCAAACTGAAGTCTGGCAGGCTTATTTTCTTCTTCAGAAATCCAGAGTTCTTTGCAGACCAACAGAGCACACCATTGTTCTTGTTTACTTGCCACTGTTAGTGAGCTGTCCTCTGCTTCATTCAATCAGTCTCTCCATCACAGTCTTGGAGCCCTGCCCTTAGCATCCCCTCTAGGCTTTACACACAGGGCCAACTATTGGCCCTGTGTGCCTTGACTGGAGGGAGTTTATTTGCTCTTGTTTCCAGAGATAACTGGTATCCCAAAGACCCAAAAGGTAAAGCCAGAGGGCTTCTTCTCCATTCTGAATCTCAGGGACCCTGCTATACATACCTTCTTGTGTGCAAAAGGTAGTTCTGGGATTTTTATTTTGTATCTACCCCACTGAGGTTTTTTCTACCTGTTGTGAGATACAGCTGGGACATTAGATGTGAGGTCAAATCCAGCTGGTTTTACTGATTTTCAGCAAGCAAAAGGTGACTTTTTAACCTTAATTTTTTTAATTTTATAGTTTAAAATTGGCATGCAGTCTCCATGGCTGGAGACTCTGACATAGATGACTGAAAAGCCTTGGAACATAACTATATGCAATAAACCAATAATTCTGCCTGCCTTGCTGCTGCTCCTACAGGGTATCTCAGAGCTGGCAAACAGAAGGGTAATGGGAATTAGAAGGAGGGGAAAAACAGCAATAAAAATATAAATCAAAGAAAGAAGGAAATCCATTTCTCCTTGGCAGCAGAGACAGTGCTCCGCTAATCCATGCTGAGTGCAATCCAATACTCCTTTATATAATCCTGTGCCGGTGGAAGAAAATTAAAGTTTAATGCCATAGCAGCTGACAAAAATCACTTTTGTTGCCCAGAAGCAGATTAAAGAATAGTTAAAATCATATAAATTTAATTTCTTTTTTGTTGTTGTTGTCGCTTTATTCTGTAACATCTTGATGCTTTAATCCCTAGCATCGGTTTTTGATTATTAAACATATATTACCAACATAAGAGAGATTGTGGGAAAAACAGTGACAGCCAGGAAATGATTTGTGCTTAAATGGTACATGTTAAAGCTCTTTCAAAATCCATAAATTTTTCATAGGTTCATAGAGGTCCATGCCTTTAATCAATCTGTGTCAAGAGGATTTTAAAATAAGCATAAAGGTAATGGAATGCTATCAATCATAATTGGGCTGGAAAGAACCATCAGGGTCCATCAGCTGTCACTCCTGCATTATGTGTATGTGTATGTGTGTATGAGCACATGCCTTGGCATGATGTATTTCCATTCTCTATCTTTGATTACTGCTATCAATGAGATAATTTGAAGACCTTGTATAAAGACGGACATGAAATAAAAATAAAATTAACTGTGGCTGTAATTTCTCCCTTTCTCTCCTCCCTCCACAGGAATTACTTACTGTCCCTGTAAAGACAGTGACTTGTCTCCTCTGTGCAGTACACTTGCTTCATCAGAACAGAAGGGTTTTCAAATGTAAAGCTTTCCTACTTTTTTAATGTATATAAAATGTCCTGTCCTGTATACAAATGCTACAAAGGGTTGACAATTTCTGTGCCCTACCTGGAGACCCTGGATCCACACAGTTAAAGGGAAATTTGTGCAAATTTATTCATAGCAGAATTATTATGAGTTTTTAAGTTATTATTAAGATTTTACAAAAGCTCCTGCTGCAATTAAGTTCAAATTTGGTTCTTATACCATGGGATTCCTGCAGCATTCTAGGTGTTTTCCATGGAAGGTTGTGAAGTCATCTCAATTTCATGGGAATTTTGTGGCTAATAGAAATTACTCTTCAGCACATAGTGTCAGCAAGAGATTTCTAAGTAAAGACAATTCTAAATTCATGCTTTACTTATCAATAGGATTCCTTTCTATTCATAAGCAGTATCTGTGTGTGTGTGTGTGTGTGTGTGTGTGCATGCACACATGTGTTTTAAATTTAATGATGGAAATTTCAAACATCCAAACAAAATATAGTATTGCTCAACTTGAAAAATTATCTACTAATGTCCAGTTTTAATTTCCTTTCACTAATATTTTATCCTTTCTTCTCCAAATATTTATGGATTAAACAATATGACATCAAAGATTTCACAGAAACAAATCTCTGATATCATATGGAATCCATAAATATTTCAGCAGAGATCTCCAAAGATAATTCTTTTTCATAATATAACATTATGTCAACTTAGAAATTAATGATATATTTTAAATATCATTAAATGTCCAATCATTGCTCAGGTTTCCATGATTGTCCCATAAATGCTTATTTTTAAAACTTCATTTATTCAAGTCAAGATTAAAATTTTTCCAATTGCAGTTCATAAATATGTCTCTCAAATACTTTTAATCAAAAGACTTCTTTGTTACATCTCCATCGCTTTCTTCCTGTCTCTCCTTTTTTAATTGGTGTAGAAATCTTCACACAGTTTCTTATTTGAATTTTACTGACCAGATTCCCTTTGTATCATTTAACATATTCCTCTCCTTGGTATTTCTTGCAGCTTAGTAGTTCAATATACAGGCTTAATCTGTTCCAAAACAGGTCCACCTGGCTCAGTATTATTATTGCTTCAAATACTGACAAGGTTTGATGGAAGGTATCTGAAGGCCACTCCAAGGGTGGGTTAAAACATAATAATTCAGTAGTCTTGCAAAAAAAAAAAAAAAATTACAAATGTCAAAGGCTTTGTGTGGAAGGGGTTGTTGCAGAGGAACCTGGGCCTTCCTGGGATTCATTAATTTCTGATTGACCCAAGTTATTTTTTTTTTCTTGTTCCATCCACTGTAGGTATATTTTTCAGTGAATTTATAGACCCTCAGAATTTTGAATCTGGATATGGTTATACAAATTCTAATCTCAACTACTAAATATTTATTTTAAAAAGGACACTGGGGCCAAGAGAGAATGTCTAACTTGTTCAAGGTTGCATGACTTTTTAATCAGCTGACTCTAGAATTCCTATATTTACTAAATCAAGAAGTAGGCTTCAGTTCTACAGAGTCAGCTACTTCTCTAATGTATCATGTATACTTTCATAAGGCAAAACTTGTATTCAGGGTGCTCTGCACTTTAATAATCATTCTCTTTTTTGGAATCTTGTTGGTGCCATAGGATTCAACATTGTTTTATAACAAGTTAACTTATATGTATTTCATTCACTACCAAAGTTGAAAATCAAACCTCTATAAGTAGAAATATATGGCCAAAAGATTAACTTGTTGAAGACTCCTTCAGTATTAGGGAAGTTTTAAAAATCAGTGGTACCATTGCTTAAAGTAGATATTAATTTAACCATGTGACTTAACTACATTTAGAACCAAAAGACACATTTATGTTTTTATCACCTGTTTCTAAATGATTCCAGTTCAGAACTTTAAGAGGGAGCCCTTTCTGGTGGTATTGCTGATGATTAGTACTCAGTTCATAGAAACAAATGAAATATAATTTCAAGAAGGATTAAAAATAACTTCAATTGTTTAAACACCTTTCTGCACTTAGTGTAAATTAATACATATAATGACTCTAAGGAGCAGAGAGTTAATTATTACTTTATGTATGAGGAATTGAGCCTCACAGAGTTTAAGCAAAGTTGCCCAAGTTCACTCAGCTAAAATATGGAAATTCTGGGATTGAACCAGTATTGTCTGAATCCAAATAACATGGTCTTTCTGCCATGATACATTTTCTCTATAATGATGGGATTGGGAGTCAGAGGATCACAGCCCAGCTTCTAATTATCTGTGTTCAAACACAGCAAATCACTTGACCTTGACCTTCTAGTTTCCCACTTTTCAAAATAGATAATAAAAGAATTTAAATTTGTCATTAGAGTCAAAGTGCTAATGTATGTGAATGACACTTTATAAATGGTACTATATTATACAAAGCCCTGCCATTTTTATTTACTTTTTTACTCTAGCACATCCATGACAATCATTTGACCTGTGTGACTCACTAGAGAATTGGAGTCAAATGAAAGTCTCCATCCCATAGCCTAGATGGACTTCCAGGGTCAGTAACCAACGGGAATACTTGTGAATACTGTGTAGAAGAGATATGGTTTTGCATGGCATGCTGTGGTGGACATGGAGAAGCACTAATCAGATTGTTATTTAAGGAACGAGCTATTGCCCAACTTCTGGGAATGCTATCAGCATCCTTTGAATCCTATCTAAATTGTTTCAACTGCAAAAGCTGCATCCATCACATAAGAATAAACTCTTCTGGGGACAGTTTAAATCTAATGACTGAGTGCACCAAGGATATAAAGTCCCAGTCAGTAAGTTGCCCTAGAACACTTATCCGTATACACTTCAGAGTTTCCCATGAGTTTGCCCAAGGCTTTGGAGGCCTGAACCTCAGTTTGACTTATCTTTGGCCAATCTTGATTTCTTTTTCTCACTTCCACACATATGGATTCCTAATCAATATCTGGCATACCATACTCCATTTTCGCATCTGTTTCTAAACAGCCTAATCTCTAACAGGTATAATTCCAGTGATATTTTCTTTTTATGTTTCATTCTAGGGAAACAAACTATAATGTACTATTATAACTATCATAAACCTATAGTATAACTAATATAAACCTATATTATAACTATTATAAACATATCAGTTTCAAATATGCTTCCTTCAGACTTAAAGTACAATGTGTTTAGAAATTTGTAACTCAGGTAGGATATTTTGGGGATGATGTCTTTAAATAACTTGAATTAGGAATTTTTAAAAATTGCCTTTCCATGCTGCAATACCTGAATATATCAACTTGATGTCTTTAGTAACTATGCTTATGACAAAGAGAGTATATCATCATTCAACTCTTCCTTTATTGAGAAAAAAGTCTTTGTAGATTTGATATTTTATTTGGATTAATGACTAGATATGCTCTGAGGATCGAGTAGTAGAAAGATGATTGGGAAAATGGAATATAGGAAAACCATAGAATTAGAACCAGGCTATAGCCTTGCTGGTACTCCTAAACATACATAAAATTAGGAGGATGTGAATAAAGACAAAGAACTCATTGTACAAAATAATGAATAGACCTTTTGGTAAGAAAGTATGGTTGTAAAGTACATACTATCTTTTTCCAGTGCTACAGGCTAGTTTGAATTTTTATAAAATTATTTGTTTTTTTTTAAATATTGAAATATATTAAGAAAATGGCCTTTTATTTTACCACTCAGATAGCACATATAAAAATTAGTTATATATAAGAGAAATAGAAAATCATTATGTATAATGAAAATGAAAATGAAAGTTATAGTATATAACTTCTGAAATATAGGAAGCAAACACAACAAAATTAAAGGGAATAATATACAGTTATACTACGAAAGTGGGAGACTTCTCTTTCTACTCTCAAAAAAGGATAGGACAATAAGAAGATAATTAAAAAATAGAGAATTTAAACCAAACAAACCAAACAGATTTAACAGATATGTATATAACAGTGTAGCTACCAACAGCATTCACACTCTGGTCAAGTGCACAAGAGATATTTTCCAGGAGAGACCGCATGTTAAGTTTCAATGGATTTTTAAAAGATATATAAAGCACCTCTGTGACCACAATGGGATGAAGTTAGAAATCAGGAACAGATGTAAAATTGTAAAATTTTATAAATTTGTAGAAATTAAACAACATAATCCACTACCAATGGATCAAAGAATAAATAAAAATATAAATTAGGAAAAACTTAATGAAAAATGAAAATAAAACATAACATACCAAAACATATGATACACAGCAAAATCAGTTTATAGTTATAAACACATCAAAAAGAAATAATGATCTCAAGTCAACGACTAACTTAAGGTACTTGAAAAGAAGAATAAACTAACCTAAAGCTAATAAAATGAATAAAATATTGAAGATTAGAATAGAGATCAATTAAATAGAGAATAGAGAAAATGAAACCAAAAGTTGTTTCTTTGAAGAGAACAATAAATAAAATAGACAAATCTTAATCTAACGAGAAAAACAAAAAGAGTAAGAGGAAGAAGAGGACAAGGAGGAGGATTATTCATCAAGTCACTCAAATCAGTTATTATTATGGATTCTACCAAATATAAGAATTACAGAAAGTTCTATGCACAATTGTGTTCCAGCAAATGGATAAACTACTGAAATGGAGAAATTCCTAAAAACATAAAAAAAAAAAAAATCTTACCAAGATTAAATCATTTAGAAATAGAAAATATAAGTAGACTATTGAATTTCTGGGAAGTGACATTGGCCCAATTATATTGTTAAATTGTGTGCATAGGCAAATATGTAGCAACAAATCATTATGTACAACTATATTGCACCAATAAAAAGGTGGAAAGGAAGAAAAGAAAAGAAAACCCAAGTAGATTTGTAACTACTAAGGAGATTTAATTAGCAATCAAACAACTTCCAACACAGAAAAGTCTTGGACCTGATGGTTTAATTGGAGAGTTCTACCAAATTCTTGCAGAACTAACACCAATTATACCAACTTTTCCAAAAAGTTGAAGAGACAGAAAAACTTCTTATTCTATAAGGTCAACATTATCCTGATATCAATGCTGGACTAAGATACTACCAGAAAATTACAGACCAATTTCCCCCATAACATTCATGCAAAACTCCTTGACAAAATGCAGACAAACCAAATTCAGCGCATATTAACAAGAGTATACATCATGTCTAACTGATAAGTGATATTTACTCTTGGAATACAAGAGCAGTTCAACTTACAAAAATTAATCAATTTAATACACATAATACAATAACAGAATTTTAAACTCTTTCATGATAATTACTTAACAAACCATGAACAGATGCATACTATCTCAACATAATAAAACTAATATGAAAAACCCACAGTGAACATATTACTCAATAGTGAAAATTAGATAGCTTTTTCTCTAAGATCCAGATCAAAATGAGGATGCCTACTCTTACCACTTCTATTCAAGCTGGTATTGTAAGTACTAGCCAGAGCAATTAGGCAAGAAAAAGAAATAAAGAAGTCTAAATTGGAAAGAAAGAAGTAAAATTATCTCTGTTTATAGGTAACATGATCTTGTATGTAGAAAAACCTAATATACCCCACAAAAAATTGTTAAAACTAATCATTGATTCACCAAGTAGAAAAATACAAAGTCAACTCATTAAAAAATCAGTTGTATTTCTACAAAATAACAATGAACAATCAGAAAACAAAATTAAGAAAATAATTCCATTTACAATAGCATCATAAATAATAAAACATTTTTAGGAAGTAATCAATGAAGTTAAAGACTTACATAATGAAAATTATAAAACAGTGCTAAAAGAAATTAAAGGAAACATATTAAAAGGAAATATTATTGTTGAAGAATTGGAGGACAACATTGTTATCAAATATATCCAAAGCAATTCACAGATTTAATGCAATTACTATGAAAATCCCAATGTCATGTTCTGTTGTTGTTATTATTGTTGTTTTGGGTAGAAACATAAAAACAAATCTTAAAATTCTTTTGGAATATCACAGGGCTCTGAATAGCCCAAACGACCTTGGAGAACAATAAAGCTAGAGGAATAACATTAGGCATTTTTGCCTAAAACTTTCTTATTTATAGTTTTATTAAATTGTAATGTTATTTGATATACATTAGTAGACAGTATATACTCTATTACATTGCTTTTGCTTTTGGTTTGTGAAGAAAAACTTTTTTTTTTTTATTTTTTTTAAGGGGGAAGGGATCTAAGTAACTTACTTTTTGATTTAACTGTATTTCTGATTTGCTGATAAGTGTGCTGGCCCATAAAATAGATCAGAAAATGCATGTATTGAAAACATAATTCACATGACCAGAAAGTGTTAAAATACTTTAAAGTCTTAAATTGAGGTTTGGATTTAGAGATTAAATTGTTAGAATAAATACTAAATTGTTATTTATTTTGGACATAAAAAGGAAAAATCTCAAATAGGGAATGTGTTCTTACTATATGAATTTACAAATTTGAGTAATTTTTGCTTAAACTTTAAAAAAATATGGCTTAATAGAATCCTTCATAAAAGAGGTTCTTTAGATTTTTACAAATAGGTCAAGAGTCTTGTTTCACTGGATCAGACTCTCAGAATTCTTCATGGCCTATTTTTCAGAATTGTTTAAGAAATATTCAGTGCCATGATGTGCCATAAAACGACTTGACTTTGCTGTTTGGAAGGTTATGGTCTCATGTCCATTTTCAAACTTTTATCATTCTACTCCTTAACTTCCCTTTCCTGACAAGCATGGTTTATGGTATTGTGTATTAGTTAAGAGGCTAAACTCTGAAATGAACAACACCTGAATTTGAATTTCAGCTCTGCTACTTCCTAGTAGTTTAACCTTGAGCAGATTACTTAAACTCCATGAAGTAAGATTAATAAAATAAAACTTAATTGTTTTGAAGATCACATTATATACTGTAGGCAAAAAAAAACACTGCCTGACACATGTGTGCTCAATAAATGATCATTGCTCTTCATAGCTTGTATGGTTTCCTGAATTATGCCTTGTCATTTATTTTGTCTAAAATTTGGTTCTTACCTTTTTGTTGTGGTGGTGGTAATTGAATCGGGGGTCCTGCATGCTAGACAAGCATTCTACTACTGAGCTACATCCCTATTCCTTTTTATTTTTTGCTTTCAGAGAGGGTCTCCTAAGTTGTCCAGGCTGACCTTGAATTTGAGATCCTCCTGCTTCAGTCTCTGATAGCTAGGATTATAGTGGCATACCACCTTGCCTGAGGTTCTCATCCTTTTATTCAACTGAGAACATGTTTTCCACCCTACTTAAACTCCTTTCTTCTAAAGTTAGATTTAGGGCTGGGTGGAAGAGCTCTGGCTTAACATGCCTGAGGCCCTGCAATCTTCTCTGTGAAAGCAGTGGAGAGTTAAAGTGATCCTTAACTTGATGGGTCACTTAAAATGAGTTTCTTAACTTCTTAGCATACCTGCTATGGGCTTGGGAATTTGGTTAGATTTTTGTTTATTTGCAAATATTTAATCTTTTCAAATTGTTTATAAGTTTCTTAAAGGCAGAAGATTATACAATAGAGTTTTAAATTTAGTCAGAGACTCAAGGTCCTTTTCTGATAGAAGGAAATCCACAATGGATATTTTTCCATTAAGCAAAACCCATTTAACTATAAATTTGCCATTTTTAAAAAAAAAAATAGTGATCATTATAGCAAGGCAATTTTATTACTTCCACTGGGTTTATTTGCTTTCTTTTGTTCAAAACATATTAAGTGGTGTGAATTAATGAATTTTGGATATTTCATCAAATACAGAGTCTTCTAGTGAGCAGTAGCTTTTGGCTGACTTTAGGTCTCTTCTGACCTTTTCAAGTGATATTTTGTAACCTCACTCTCTATATATGCATTTCACCTATCTATCTGAAATTTTATATTTGCTTGGGTTTTATTTAGTGTTTAAGAAAACTAATTTCTTTGTTTCATAAGTTTTGGGGAATAGTTTATTAAATCAAGTACCTTCAATTTTAGTTGTGGCAGAATTTCCTAATGCTGCTTACAATAGGAAAAACACAGGGGTGTTATTGGAATTTTGCTTTTTTTCTTTTTTCATTTTTTTAATAATAACTTTAATTTTTTTTTTCTAATTAGTTCTACATGACAGCAGAATGCATTTTATTTCATTTACACAAATGGAGCACAACTTTTCATTTCTCTGCTTGTACATAGTGTAGAGTTGCCTTAGTTGTGAAATTATACATGTACCTAGTGTAATGATGTTCTCATTCAACCACCTTTGCTACCCACATGTCCCTTCCCTATGGCCCCCCACCCCACCCCTTTGCCCAATCCAAAGGGAACTTTGCTTTTTAGTGGACTATGTTGAATACCTCAGACCTTTCATGTTTCTCCTTTGCTGCTTAATTTCACTATGCTCACAGGGATGTTAAAAGTGCAACATCACAACTTGAGTTCCAGGGTTGTACCAAGGCAGTTGATTTAAATAATAATAATAATTTAGGAAACTGAAAAAATTTCTGTAGGACAAAGAAGTCTGCAATAATCAGATGTGTTGTTGCATTTGAGATATTTCAATTAAGGTTGAACAATGGAAATATAGGGTTATCTGCTTTGATGTCTACTAGAGAATTTATTTTGGTAAACCTTTATTTTTATATAAAACTCATTCATAAATCCATATAGCCCTTTTAAAATTTTATTGTAAAATTTTTAGAAGGAATTAATATTTATAGCAACCTAGGATAGGCACAGCATGCTGCAAACAGCAGAAGTTATAGAGAAAGAAATCAATTTGACCACATACAAAATGCCAAATTCTATGAAAAGAAAAATCTAGACTAAAAAACACTTGTCATAAGGCCAAAGGAAAAACATTCTTCACATATAAAAGATGTTACAAATAAATAAAAAAAAAAATGCCAAACTATATCAAAATAAAAGTGAAGGATTAATCAAGTTTTAAAAGAAATATACATTCAGTAGCTACTATAACACTAATAATAGAACATGGGAACATGTGGAATAGTAAACAGGCAACCAAATGAAATATGTTATAAATCTATACCCATCCAACCCTCTTTAATCAGTGTATTTTTATCACGTACCATCTCATAAGATACCGAGTTTATTATCAGTTACGATGTCATTTTAACTTTTTTCTAGACCCAAGGGGCGCCTTTCAATTTCTGTAACAGAAATTTAAGTTATCTGCTTATTTCACTTTTTATATTAATTTAGGCAAATACTGGTACATTACAATATGGGCTAAGAAGTGAGCTGCCGTGGAAGATTTGTCAGTGAACAAAACTGATCAGGCCTCTCACCTGAGAAGCTAACATTCAAATATTTTGGGGATGAGAAACAAAATGAATAGACATATAGTATATATAGATGGTTATAAATGCTAAAGAGAGAAATAAGAAGGATAGAGAAGATAGATGATGGGGTAGAGAAATTGCAGTATTAAGTAGGGTGATTAAGAAGACCTTACAGAGAAGGTAACATTTGAACAAAGAAATGAAGAAGGTAAGTTTTTGGTAATTTCTTCAAATATTTATTATATTAATGCTTTTGATTGATGCCTTCCTGCTATATTAGTCATGAAATAGGAACAAAACAAATGTTGGTGAAAATGTGGAGAAACTGAGTCCCTTCTACATTGCTAGTGAGAATAATAAAGGATGCAGCTACTGTAGAAAAGAGTTTTTCAATAAGTAAAACAGAACTGCCATATGACTCAACAACCTCATCCATGGATTTATATACCCCAAATCATTGAATCAGAAGCTCAGATACTTATATAACATATTCTTAGCAACAGTATTTATAAATAACCAAGAGGTAGAAACAACCCAAATGTACAATAAACCAGTTGTGCCAGTTACAAAATTATAAATATACCTTAAAAATTTGAACAGAATTTACACATGAAGTATTAAATGTAAAATGAAAATGGATATATAGAAATTAGAATTTGCTGGAATGCAGTTTGATTAGTTAATCCCCAGATTGGCTAATCTTAACTGGAACAGCAACTTTGCATATGATAGTTTCTATGATAATGATTCTCTTTCATGTCTTATAAAATGTGAAAGTAGAATTGTTTATATAGATAATAGGTAACATTATCTAGTATCTTTATTCACAATTTAATGATTATAAATAAATTTTGTAATTTTACAAATAAATTTAATGAAAATGAATTTAATTTATAAAATTTTGCATACGCAAAAAGACAAATGAGGGGTTATTTAATGAATAAATGCTTCAAGAACTCAGAACATAAAATTAATTTCTGCATGTTTCCTACTATATGGTAGATAATAAAATATTATAGTCTACTATTAGAAATTAAAAAGTTACATTTTTGGCCAACTGCTCCCAAGAATATAACATCAATGATAGGATTAAATTATTTGATTTTTCTTTCTGTGCTCTAGTGAGTCTGACATACCTCTCTATTACCTTTGTAAAAATAGATTTTAAAAATATTTTGACTCACTTAAATTATTTGCAAAGGATATAAAGTTTTCTATTCCAATAAAAAAAAAAACCAAAAAAAACTAAGTATTTTAAAAAGATCTATTTAATGGTCAAATGACAGAAGAGACTGAAATGACCTAAATTTTGATTAGGAAAACACTCAAGAAGTGTGGACTTTTAACCATGAGAATTGGAAACTCTGAATCAGAAATTTCTTGAGAACTGATCTTTTGAAATCTCAAAAGTTTCCCACATTAGCGAAAAAAGAAAGAAAAATATCTTTCTGTTGTGTTATGTACTAGAACCATGGAGTGCAGGCATGAATGGAAATGAAAGAGAGTGAAAAAACCTTAACAACCTTTTGAAACTCAGTAAAATTTTGTTCATGATTCAATTTGGCAATTTGCATTTTCCATGTTTCCTACTATTAATATTTAATATTTATTTAATCTAAAAATATGAGACTCTATATATATTATTTTAAAAAATTTATATGGGCCTTGTTTTATCTATACAAACTTTATGTGAAGAAGATAATAAAATAAAAAGATATACTCTGTATTTTAAATAAGTTTTTAAATTTTATTTTTTAGTTGTAGGTGAACACAATACCTTTATTTTATTTTTATGTGATACTGAGGATCAAACCCAGTGCATCATGCATGCCAGGTGAGCTCTCTACCTCTGAGACACAACCCCAGCCCATGTATTTTAAATAATTTTAAGGTTTTACTGTTTTTGTACTAAATGACATTCTAGGTCGCCTTTAATTATATTCACAATAGCACATTTAAGTGTGGCCAGTTGAGTTCTTATACAATATTTTATACTTATTTTTTTCATTTTCAGATAAATGTATTTTAGAATACAGTAGCTTCAAGCTGACTTTAAATTAGTGTGATGTGCAGACTTTTTTCTTTTTTTTTTTTTTTTTGGTTAATAAAAGAAATCCCATCTGGACAGAAAATGCTAGAGTGAAGTACTAGTAGCCAGGAAAATACAATTTTTTAAATATAAAATTAATTTGCTTGCTGTATAGGGATTCACGTAAGATCAAAATTGTAAGATCAAAATTGAATATATGGCTTGAAATTTAAAATTTATTCCAAAACTAACTTGTCTCAACCTACTCAAGGTTAGTATTCAAATTCATACAATTAGAAGACAGATATTTAAATTGTGTTTGAAGTTTAATTTTGTTAAGCCTCATTGCAGAATGGGAATTAAATCTGGTAGGATGGTACATGAAATACATTTCATAATTTCAGAGAAGTTATTCAGTTTTCTGCTAAGTGTAGAGACCAAATACAGAATAAACTGTTTTTCAAATCAAAATTTGCAAGACAAAGGACAATTGTATTGTGTACTTAAAATTCTAAGACTTAAAGTCAACTAAAATTGATACATGACTTAAATTAGAGCACTGTTAAGGTCACAAAGTCTTATGATACTAGTACAGAAACAAAATATTTCAAAACAATTTAATGAATATCGATGTTGATTTGCCTCAAAAAAGAAAGCACTCACTACCATGTCTTCTTGTATTTCATGAGGAAAAGTGTATATTAGCAGTAAGATATTATAGGCTAATGTGCTACCCTATGCAGCTTCTCTTAAACATCTCTAGAGATAATCACCCAGAGCACAGGGAGCAGGAGAGAAACAAGGGAATCAGATTCTGGAGCATAAACCAGTAAAGAATTTACATAGTGAAATTTTTTCATGACAATATCACTTTTCATCACTTTTTAGTCAGGAAGCTTGGTGCAGATAATAAGAAACACACTGGCAATTTATAAAAATTGGGGACAATGTCAGTGGATTTCTTCTGTTTTCACTTATTACTTCATAAATTTATAAGGGTGTTCATTGATATTATATGTAAATATATCTAAGCATCTACTTTAAGGTGGTGGGGAATTCATACCTCTTTTTGTTGTCTGTCATATTTAGGGGGAGAAGTATAAACATATAACATCTTTCCCTTTTCTTCTACTACATTTATATGCTTTCTTAAAAAAATTAACAAAAATCATCTGTGAACAGTGTACTTGAAGTGCATACTTAATTGCCAATTTCACAAGCCAAAAGAATGCTTTTACTTTATTAATGTCAGGGAATAATGGAAACTGTACCATTTCTTTAAAAGTAAAGGATCACCATTATATGCTTATACTGATGCAGGCAAAAAATAGTTTCAACTGCTTCTATCAGTATCTGTAATAGCATTTTTACTAATCATTGGAGAAAATAGCTTTGTTTGTAACAAGGCAGTTTAAAAAGCACCATCACTTAAAAAGGTAATCTAAGCTATCTATGTAATTCCTACTTGCTTTATAGTGGAAATACAATGCATGTGTAGTTACATAGATTTTTCTCTTAAAATACCAGTTAACCATTATTGTTAATAGGAACCAAGTCTATAGTTCTTAACATGATGTAGGTGACGAAGAAAATGCTTTTTTTAAGAAATTAAACTTCACTGAAGACCAAGATAAATTCATTTCACATCAAAGGTAACTATGGAAGGGACTAATCTGCAATTACAGATTTTAGCAATTTTTTGCTATATGAAGGGGAACTTGTCCTTGAGTAAAATAATTTTTCATGGTTGCCTGAAATGGGAGTGTTCTTACAATTAATTTATAGGGGCTGGCACATCTCTAGGTTGACTTTTTTAATCAAAAAGAAAGTTAAAGATTGGAAAACAGATCATTTTCCCCCTTTTACTACAGTTTTGCTCTAGGCTGCTTTCATGCAATATTCTCTGTTGCATGTTTTCTATTTGACAAATTTAAATAAAAATTAGGATCATTCCAGATTGCAATGTCACCTCCCCAAACTTCCTGGGTGGAATGTATCAGAACAAAAGCATCTGTAGTTGTCTGCATTTAACTTACTAGGAATAGGTCTAAGGACATCTGGGATGAGAATCTCCACCAAAGCCTGGTACATCCCATGGTCACAGTTACACATCCATTTCAGAATAGACTCACGTTTGCACAGAGTTATCAGCTTTGCTTTCGGTAGTCGACTTTCTGTTTCACTCAGATTGCTGGTGTGAATAAATGTAGCAAATGAATAGATGGCAAATGAGGATAAAAAAGAAAATGGACTTTAAAAATAGTTTATCAAATATTACTGAGGTTAGAACTATACCACCACTGTACTGGTACCATATGGCTGGATATATATATATATATATATATATATATATATATATATATATATTCCCCCAGAGCTGCCTATACACATTAAAATTTTCTGATGGTCTGAAAGGCAGATATGATAGCAATTTCATGAGGATGAAATAGCTCTACTGTAGTCCCCCATATCAATAAAAATGGGAGCTATATATGTGTGTGTATAAATATATATATACACACACACTGAAACCTCAAGAGAGCAGTTTGTGGTTTATTTCTAGGATGGCCAAAACATTAATCTATTCACTTTATTTTATCAGTAAGGTTCACAACTGGTATACATATCTCTAATTCATTAGCTGTAACACCTACTCACTCATGAAAATGAATTGGAAAAGCATATTGATTCTGACCTTGATTCGGTAATAGTAGTGCCATCAGTTGGAGTAGAGGGAGAATAGCGCCAGAATGTTTGCCACAATTTTTCTATCAAGCTAAATTGAAGATTCACAACAACATCCAATATTGCCTATAAAACAAAATGGTATCAGTATTACCTCACAATATTACTTACCGGGTAGGTGAAAGAGCCTAATGAGACTTTATATGGTAAATATCTCATTGGGTTCATAAGTTAACAAATAGTGAAACTGAACTAAATTTTACCAATGGAAGTAAACAAAGTGATTAACTAGAAAATGAAAGGAAAAATAACTCTTGTAAAATTAAGCAGGATAACTTGTATTCCTTCTATAATGGCATCATATCCTAGCCTCGCTTTCACCTTTCTTTTCTTCTCCATTTTTATGCTTGTTTTTCTTTTCTCCATTTTCTTCCTTATTTTTCTTTTGTTCCCTTTCCTGCTGCTTCCTTCTGCCTCTATCTATTCTCAGACCAGGAACAGTATAGCAAGTGATTAATTCACATTTGTCCTCTTTGGGCTAAGTGACCACTGGTCATCAAATGGGGCACAAGAGTGCAGAGGTGCTTCTCTATGGAAAATGGAGTTAGGGTTGAATTAACTCTTCTAAGGCCACTGACCAGGATGTTCCTAGCCAGAGAGAGGCTTTAACAAAGTATACAGTCATCAGGCCTTCAGAGGATGGCACCTAACTGGGTAGAAAAGGATACAAGAAGCACCCTCCTTTGGTCACACAATGCCTTCCCTTTAACATCAAAGAATCTAACCCATCTCTGCACACTTCCTATAGAGAGCAGCTTTAAGACTAACCCCTTTTTATCCCAAGGGTCCTCACCTTCATTTTCTCCTTAATTTTAGTTTTTAGAACCATTTTCCAGATGCATCAAGGAATTTTCCTTTTCTTTATTTTCTTTGTGCTTTTTATTAAATGATGCTAAAATATATTACTTTTTCTATTAACTATGATGATGACCAGATTTAATCTCACTCTACCATTACAATTAATTTATAAATTAGCTGTTAGATATGAAGCCAAAAGGACACTTATTTATGAAAAGACACACGATTCTGTGAATATTTTGAGCCTTTAAAGACAGAGGTAACTTATATGTATGTATAATGTGGAGTCATCAAAAATTGAGAACCAGAATACGTAAAAGAGCCCCATCAAGATCTTCAAAATTCACGGAAGGCAGAGAAAATTGGCCAAGTAGAGTCTGTCTGAATATTTTGGGCAAAAAGAACAATAATTTATATTCTATAATTTAATAATTATAGAATGGTGCTATTTATGTAGAGATAGCCCTATACATGATACACAGAATAGCTGACTTAAAAACCTAAGGCTAACTCAAATATTTAAAAAAAAAAAAAATCTGTTTAGAGTTACTCTTTTGGGAATGAGTAGGGAATGCTGCAAGTAGTTAGTTGGACAGTGAAAATGAAGTCAATACATTCCTCAGCAACATTCAAAAATATAAAACTGAACTTTGAGCAGGGAGTGGTAGCATTTGTCTGTATTCCCAATTACTAAGCAGGCTGAGAAAGGAGAATTGCAAGTTCAAGACCACTCTGGGAAACAGCAAGACCACATCTCAAAAAAAAAAAAAAGTTAGTAAAAATTAAAACAAGCCCTAAAAATAAAGGACATACAGATGTCCCTTAGCCCAAACAAAAATAAAAACTTTCTCCAAAAGCAAATTATTATAGTTGCTTTCCAAAAATGCAGTTTAGGCATACCAAGAGATATCTCTAAGTGTGAAGCAGCTATTATATTTTACATACCTCTACTATGAGACTGTTGTAAGAACACTATCTATGTATATGTTAAAAGAAAAACATATAGCTGGAGCAAATTGTGTAGAAAATTGTACTTGCTCCTTATATAACAAAACTAGTGACATTTATAAAATCTTTGATAAACAAATTATGAGAATTCCAAATAATAAGCAAAGTAGGATTATTACTCTTTCTTTAAAAATATAAACTGTAGGAAATGTGCAATAAAGTAAGGTAAATAAAGGGGTTCAATGCATCTTATATTCAATATATCCTTGAATTAAATAATCTCAAATAACTCTTTTGAAAAGGACATCAACATCAACCTCATTTGAGGCAGTTTTACAAATGAATAAAACATTTTATTATTTGTCCACCCACTTTAAGATATAAATTAAAATAATTCATATTACACTGCCTTAGGGCAAAGGATTATTTACAGGACTGGACATGAGATTTAGGGAGCTGTATTTCAAAAATGTAAAAGTCTGAGAGGAAAAAATAATTAGAGTATTTCTTTTCTATGTACAACACCCACCCCATGAAAAGTGGCACAGACACTTGTGACTTTGAAATGAATAGGGATTATTTTATGGGCCATCATTTCCCACACAGATTAATTACTATACATGTCCTATCTCTTCATGCAGAGTATATTTATTCCTGACAATTGGTATGTTCATGAAAACTTTATAATCCAAAACATATTTTCACCTTATTGGAGGAGTCTCTTACTTAGAATAATCATACTGCAATTCTTTAGGAAGTAAATAATCTTACAGTATATTTATGCTCAAACTTACATTCTGAATAAATATGAGAAACTTTTTTTAAAAATTCAAACTATATTTTTACAGGCTGGTTGCTTAAAGCAGGGTTCATTTGAGCACAGAGAAACAAAAACTTGTTTAGAAAAAATTGTACACAAACTTTCATTGAATTTGATGACAGCTGTAGAAAGAATTTTTCCCCATGTATATAAGGATAATCCAGAAATTTTCTCATCTTGGCGAAAGCACAGCAGTCAAAGGTAAATGACACTAAGTAGCTTTCATCATGCAAAGAAATGTTGGGAACTGGTAGGGAATACTGAAGAACATTTCTGGCACATACTCTGCTAATAAGGAGAGAATTCACCCTGGTTGTCAATAACTTAGCATCCTTGACGAATACTTCGATTCACCCAAGCAATTCTTATTTCTGGAGTGGGAAAAAAAATCTGTGAGTGTTATAAGCTGAAACTTCTTACTGCACATTGCATTGTCAGCAGTCAGGAGGACTATCCCAGATATTCAACGGATAATCTTCAACTTTTAAGCAAATAACAAATATCCTTGGAATACAGCTATTTAAATTCTAAATAGAATCCTCTTCCAAAAGAAGAAGCACTTAAGAAAACTCTGTAATCCATGATGCCTTCCCTACCAGGTGAGCTGCAGATTTATTAATATGCTGGCATGCAGAGAGCTCACCTTCTAGACTACATCATGTGGGAAGGACAATAGGAACAGGGATAAAAAACACCAAGAGAAACTTAATTGACCACAAAAAATGAAACAAAATTAGAGCCTCATGCTCCCTCGAAGGAAAACCTGAAGTGCTTTATTGAACATTTCTAGAAATCATTTTTAATAGAAATACACCATGGTGTAAAATTCAAAAGGATAAAGGACACACTAAAAAAATCAGTCTTCTGATTCCCAGTCACTTGGTTTCCTTTATAAAGACAATCACTATTAACATTCTCTTGTTCTTTCTGGAGAAAGAACTTAAAAGAAAATATGCTACATATAGTTTTACACTATGATTTTTCCTTTAACATTAAATCCTGGCACTTGTTCCATTTTAGTATATTTAGAGTTGTCTGTTCTCTGGCTGTACAGTACCAGATTTTTATCTAGTTCCGTATTAAATATAGCCAACCTTTTAAATTAAAAAGAATAATGCAGCAAATTCCCTGTACACTTGTCTTGTCACCCATATGTAAGTATTTTTGTAGGATAAATACCTAGAAGTGGAATTGCTGCATCAAAGGATTCAGATTAGGATAGGCTTAAGAAATGGAGAATAAAATGTACTCTCACTTTCCTGCATTCCTCACCTCTCAACTCTGAGACAAGAAAGAAGAAAAATGAATTTATTAGTGCTCAAAGAAATGCTCAAAAGAATTAGTACTAACTTCATGTGTACTCTAGGAAAAAGCTTGATTATTTTGCTTTAACAAATTTTCTGGCAAAACTTAGCGCATGTTCATACCACGTTTGAAAAGACTTACCTCACAGTGCTCTCGATAAAGACTTTGCAGTGACTTGATATCCTCAAAGGTAGTACCATCTGGCAGAGAAGAGATTTCAACTTCTCCAAACTCTGGAAGTGCTCGAGATGCATCTGTTACCATGACAACATAACAGAAAAAAGCTTCTGTGGATAGTGTCAATTACAGATTAATGAGGAAAAATTTCAGAAGACTAAAAAGAAAAAAAAAATTAGGTCAGAGGGCCAAAGAACAAGGACTTTTCAAATTAATATTTTGCAAGCAAAACTTAACAACATGATCAGCACAAAATATAAGAATAGAGGGTACACACTTAGGAATTTTTAGAAATCAAATTTTCACTCCAGTTATATCAGAAATCCTACAGCCCAGGCCTCTATTAAAAGAAAATATTTCAAGCTTGCTGGTACCAAATTTAGTTATTTTCATTATCATGCTACTTAACTGCACAAAAATAAATGTAGCCTTAAATTTATTATGTTCAGATAATATAATCAGAAGCCAAGAGAGTTATGAAATACAAAGAAAACCATAAAAATAAAGTTAAATTTAACAACATTAATTTGATGTAATGGATGATACTATTGTCCTATAACTAAATTACCTCTTGTAACATGAACATGGGATCGGCTGTTGCAGTACAGGACTTTTTGCATTTGATAGGCCTATTCCAACATATATTACATGATTGGTACTTCGCCCATTATTCTTCTGCATTCAAATGACTGTGAAACTTGCCTCCACAAAGAGAATAGGGGCATGATTTAGCCTTCCCTTGAGAGGAAGGCATAATTTACATAGTCTCTTTCTGTTCTTTTTGTTGTTTTTTTTTTTTTCATTAGCTCTGGACAATTATCGTAAATACACTTTGGTGCTTGCTTTATCATAAACTCAAATATAAATGTGGCAAGTAAAACTGCAGAACTGTATTTAGTTTTAGCTTTTAGGCAAAATTCAGGACATGATTTCATTATTTTTTGACATTATTTGAAATTAATTGAAAGCTCAAGGGTCCACAAGACTATATCTGAGGACTTTAATTTGGGAAATACTGCCATATTTTCAACTTCAGTAATTATTCCAATTTGAGAATCTCTTCCAGTTGTCTTTGTTGGAAAGTGCATATGGATACATATATACACACACATAGGCACACACACTCTCTGACTGCATCTATGCAAGTTGATATGTTGTATGAACACTGTGCATGCTCATCTCCAGAAGAATTCTGCATTAAATTTAACTGCTACTTTTGCTCTTAGGCTATGGCAGTAATATGTAAAATGTTGTAGTTCTACTTCCTAATTCTTTCAATAACAAGAAACATAGACACTATCTAAAAATTACAAAAATAGAAAGTACTAGGATCAATGTAAAAGAATAAATTACTTTTTTAAAGTTTAATACAATTTTCTTCTAATCTAATACTGTCTGCAAATACAACTTTGTACACAGAAAAAGAGAATTCTTTTTGGTCCTTGAAATAACTACTGCAAGTAAACAAAGCATAATTTTAATAACATAAGACAATTAATATAAATTCTGGAAAATACTTTTATAGCCTTTAATGGATTATGCATTTCAAAGTCCTACTTTGCTCAAGACTTTTAAAAATAAAGTTCAAGTGGGAAAGTAGAGATGAACTAGAACTATATGATGTACATAGTTTCAACACCAAAACAATCTTTCTATGTAATTAACATCTGTAACGGACATTGTACTGGGAGAAAAGAATTATTGTTCTCTTCAAAATCCCAAGAGCAACTAATAGGCAGTACACCTTAACATACCTAAAAACTGTTGATGATGTTGACTTTGGGCAATTACAGTTTGCTCAACAGATGTGCCTGTCTGTTGACCACTTCCTGTGAAACCATCTGCAACCCCATCCACTTTCTGCATAGGCTTGTACCTAAAAATATTAGATGGAAAAAACAATTATTCCTTACTTTTTTGTACTATCTCGAACTCCAAGGCATTCAGTTGTAATTTATCTTTAATGTCTCATGATAGTTGTAGGAATTTTTTTCCCTTAACAATTTCATAAAGTTAGGATGTAGGCATTTTTTCCCGAATAGTGAAAAGAACAAAGGGGAAAGAATAACAGGAAAAGGAACCATGTTTGAAAATCCAGAAATTTACATAAGAATGAAAGAATTATGAGGTATTTCTATGGATGGCAACAGCAGATGTCCAGGCTTCTAGTATTAGTACATATTTTGAAAACTTTTAGAGGCCAATGGATCAAGTTAGAAACATTTTTAATACACTGGAACTTGAATTTGAACTAAGATCTAGGAGCCTACTGGGACCTAAAAAATGTTGATGAGTGGCTTTCAACTTATTAGTATTTATAAATATAATCAGTCTATAAATCTCATCATACTGTTTTCATATTTCCTAAAATCTCATATGCATCTCAACACATTCATTTCTCTAGACTCTTATCCACATTTGCAAATACAAAGACTATGTGCATCCTTTTGCAGCAAAATACATGCAATAATACATCTACAAACCTAGTTTACCAAAATAAAAGAAAAAAGTCAGCTACAGCGTGTATTTATCTTTAGATCTTATTTATATGACCTTATGTGCTTTTCATATTGCTAAAATAGAAAAAAATGTACATCAGCAGCAAGCAGAAAAAGAAAAAAAAACTTTTTAGAAGAGAAAAATCATATATAAAACATCTCAGGCAAGTCTTCTAGGACAAGTGTACATAAAATAAGTAAGCGGCAGCTCTAATTTCTTCTTTTCTCAGATTGTAAGTATTTTTCTTCATTTTAGAAATGAGAGAAAAGAATTTTTAAATAATCTACAATAAACTTATCACCTAGAAATAGCTTCATTCCCATTATCATATTTGTCCTTCCTTTATTGCTATTTTCAACTGTGTTTATAAACATAAGAACTAGATATTCTCACCACCTACTTAACCCTTGTTTAAACCAAAATTCAACTACATCAATAGTGTGAAGTTATTGTAAATATCAGTGCCCCTAACTTGTGATTACTATATACTTAGAGATGTCTGTACTCTGACAACAGGTATGAAATGAATGGATCTGGTGAAGCATCGCACAAATAATGCTCAGGCTACTTAGGAAATGATTCAGACTTTCATGTTATCAATTATAACTTAGAAAAATGAAACTTTCATGAAAATTTCAAAGTTTCTCATAGTGATATTGACATTTATTTTTTATGTTACAGTAGCTTACAAACAACTATGGAAAGCAAAGATAAGTCAAAGATGAGCCGGGTGAAAATGGTACAACTCATCTCATTCTATGGTTATAACTTTAGGGATGACCTCCTCAACAACAAAATATTAGTTGGTACTTTCTAATATAAAAATATACTCTTTTATTTATTGGTTCTTTTAGTTATACATGACAGTAAAATCCATTTTGACATAATTCCACAAGCATGGAATATATCTTGTTCTAACTTAGGAATGCAGTACCTCTCCTTCCTTTTCTCTCTCCCCACCATTTGCTCCCTTTCCTCTATTGATATTTCTGTCATTTTACCCATAGTTATTTCTTTTAAGTAATTTCTTGTGGATATACATAATGGTGAGATTCACTGTGTATTTTTTAAAATTTGCATAAAGAAGTTATGCCAGACATTTAAACCTACTCTTTTATTGAATAGAAAAATCTTCTGGAAAGTCCCCCCCCCCCCATTCAGGACCATACCAAAGACGATGGAAGATGTGTTAGAAGTGTCATTTATGAAAAATCTAATGTTTTTTCTGCATTTTTTCTTCTTAATACTAACCCTAACCCTAACCCTTTGTGAGCCAAGTACTTTGTGTACTTGTGTAAGGAAGCAGTTACTTAATCATTCTGTTCTAGCAGACTTGAATGATTACATTCTTATTTCATTTAGGGAAGTTTCTTATTCTCATTTATTTTTAAATTTGATTTTAGCTCTTTTTTTCAACTATGAAATTTTATATCACTAACAATATATCTGAAAACTGTTTATGTTTCTTAATTTAAGTTAGTGGAGTTTGGAATTCACAGAGTTTAACCAAAGTAGTTAAAGGAATCTGAATCGTTTACGCCGGAGAAGAGGGAAAAAAAATATTTCCTATAGACTTTAACTTACTAAGTTTAAATGTGAGTTTATAAAGTAATTATGATACTCTGCCCAGCTGTGCTTTATAATGTTCCTTTGCCATATATAGCACCTAGTATTAAAGACATGAAACCAAGGACAAGTGGGGAAAAAATGTCATATACTCCTCTTAGAATAAGTTTTCTGAGGACAGATGCTATGCCACAATCTACCTGCACACAGTGCTTAGCAAGCCTATAACCTACAAGCAAAATTACCTTCTTCTTTAAGAAGACAGCATTATCATTGTATCAAACACAGTGTAAGTGTCTATGAGTAGGAGATATTGTATTTTTAATATGCAGTCAAAATCACAATGAATCAAAATTGATGTATGATGTTTAATAAGATTGAGTGGGAAGCACTAATTAGAGGTCTACTATATTAAGTGGGAGATGGCAAATGCATCAAGGCCAGCTTACAAGGAAAGAAGGAGATAAACTGACAAATCCAGGAGAAAATGTATAGGTCAGTACTTTAGAAAAGCTCTTACATAGTGGGGATGAAGGGAAACACAGAGAAAATACAGTCAGAGCTGGGAAATGAGTGCTTTTATTATAACCATAAGAATAAGGATAGAAAGATGAATAGTAGATTGAAAGACAGGCACAGATAATACTGTATGGGTATTTCCTTGGTGGAAGTGCTGTAAACCGGAAACTTATATTGTGACTCATGCTAGACTCCAGGGACAGAGTTCAAAAAGCTCTACGAAGAATGGCACCAGCAAGGGCAGGGGGTTGCATTAGTGTGAGCCTGAAAGTATGGAAGAGCTTCTAGGTAATGTTAACTTTTGCTTTTCCTCTTTGTTAAGTAATGAATCACACAGTGGCACATTCAAAGTTTATTGCTTGACACTGGATTAGTGCTTGCAAGAAATCCCCAGAAACCAGAAACATTGGGCAGCAAGGGGCTGGATGTTCATCTGCCTGATTCCATATTTAAGAAAAACATTCTATCTCCTACCGTCATCTCAGAGGTTTGGGTCTTCCCAGAAGAGAAGGGAGTTTAACAAGGAGTCAAAAACAACCACATTAACAATAGGCTAAACAAATACCTATACCTATAAATTAAATATGTAAAATACCTAAAAAATTCAAATACAAAAATTCAAATATCAAGGCTCACTCAAGACCTACCTAATAAAATCTTTGAGAATGGGGCTTAGCAACTGGTATTACATGCTTCTGAGATGTTTTCTAGGCAGCATGCACAGTCCTAGTCCATAGGAGCCTCTTGACCCAGTAAGGAGTCCTTCAGACCAATGTTGTAGAAATATACCCATTAACATTAGAGAAGAGCCAATTTTCAAAAAAAAAAATTCATCAGTTTTCTATTTCCCCCATGAACTAAATTTGAAATACATGATAAATATCTTTAAATGGAGAATGAATGATTAAGATAACTTTTCATTTTATCATGCCATCAGTTAATCTTAACATACTTTTAATGAATTTAACAAATATTTATTGAGCATTTACTATACATAGGGCACGATAAGTTCAGGGTTTTTAAAAGGTTCAGTATAAATGATTTTTCTCTAAGTTTTTAAATATTCTATTAACATGATAATTCTACATTATTTAATTCTGGTTGAATTTCAACTAAATTTTTAGCAATGAAACAGAACTTATAGTTTCTTGCCTCTTTGCACTCTTTACAAATCATTTATAAATATTAAATTATAAAAACATTCTTTCTATTGAAAACAAACAAACCCCTCTGTGTTGAATTCTTTAAAACCTGAACTTTCAGTATTTAAAAGTATTATCCTTCCTTTACCCCCATTTATTTTACAAATGTATGCTCTTGAGTTATGGTGTGTTCTTGATAATGACCTGCACTGCATCAAAGGAAGAAACAGCTTTGGATTTCAAAATTAGTAAGAGGCAAACGATCATTTTAACAGCTTGCAACTCCATGGGCAATCAGAACTAAAGTTGTTAATGATTAGGAAATGAAAGAAACTCTAATGTTTTAATAGCTGAGTATATGCATGAAACCTGCCACTAACACAGAAAACTTAGAAAATTATTAGGAATCTTCCCCCATGGGGTTACCTATAGCTATTATTTAGGACTTGGACATTTGCAACTCTACTGTAATCATAATATTCTGTCAGTAATCTACAATCAAGGATAATGAAACAGTTCACTGGAAGACAAAGAGTAGTATATGTTTACCATCACATTCAATCAACTGTACCAAGTAGAAGAGTTTTCAATAAACTAAATGAAACATTTGGAAAGTCCTTTCAAAGCAGATGAAATATACACATGCAAAATATTAACTCTACAGGCAGAGTCATTATTATGTTCATAATATATGAAAGTACATGATCACTGATTTGCATAAATAAGTAAAAATGATGACCTGACAATCAGGGCAAGAGGCTACAATTTTCTATGACTAGAAGTTTCTTTTAAACCTCTTTTGAAAAACTGCCCCAGAAAGTCTTTAGATTACCTGATGTATAAAATGAACCAAGTGATATAAACATGAATAGATAAGAAAAAAGTACCACTGTGTGAAGAGATTCATTCTTTCAAAACAGTAACTGACTCTTTGATGCCACACTTAAATATACATTTATATTTATCTAAATGATAGAATTCTCTCTCTTGAATTCTGTTGGTAGCTTTCAGAGTATGTATCTCTTCATTAGTTCTAGATTTATAATTGAGCAAAGAGAAGAGAAATAATTAAATTTAAATGTATTTTCCTAAAAATACTTTTAGTTGTAGATAGACACAATACTTTTACTTTGTTTATTTAGTTTTTTTA